CATTCTACGAAGGCATAGACAGTTTTCAGAACAAAAAGTTTTCGAAAGGAAAATACAAATGCAATTATGTCCTTAGCTAGTTTAAACCTAAATAAAATGAATCATTATGCGCCACTTCCAAGCAAGTGTCTTCGAGTGTCAAGTCTTCATTTTCATCAGACTACTACAACTGCTGAATTTCTCCATAAATATGTCTTCAAGACGTTCCTTGGCTGACTCCTCCAACCGCTACCTCGAAATATATTGAAAAAGTTATTTAGCTACCTAGGTACACATTTTTCTGACTACGTCAATGTTATCTAAAAGCTTAAAATAAGTTTGATTTATTGCGATTGTTTCGTTTGGGAAGTTGTATCTAAGTTATATGTAGTTTCGTTTACGTAGCTGGTAGGTTTTGAATTTAATATTTATGTCTCCGACCGTAATTAATATCTAAAGTTTGTACGAGTACCTACCTAGAAGCAATCGGTATTAAGTAATAACATAGCAATTAATTGTCAAATTTTGAGAAATTCAGTAATTAAAAAGACGTTTTGTGTATGATCTAGATACGGAGGTCACAACAAACTACAATAATTACCGCCAAAAGTTAGCTTAACCATTTGGTTTTATCATCCAACTTTGATCATTATATTGCTAAATGATTAGGTCTAACGTTGGTAAAAATAGAACTTTGTTCAAAGAGCTTGCGGATTTTCGAGGCAAATAATAGTTGAATGAAGATTTTGTCGATTCACTTGCTTTATAAACTTAGAATTCCCTTCAAAGTTCTAAGCGATTGCACATTGACACGATAGATTCTATATTTAGTTTCGATTAGCTTACTTGTATGGTTTCGAAACGGATTTAAGTACCTTTTAATTAAGATAAAAACCTTTGATTAAAGACATTACGTTTTCAAGCGTTAAATAAACATTTAAATTAGTTAACTGAAACGTCAATGCCCAGTTCAGTCGGCGAGCTATGAAAAGTTCGTCGACCCCACAATCCTGCTTGCGTGTGTCAACTAGGAAACTTTACAGGACGCGTCGGGAAATCGTTGCCGCGGAAACCACGCAGTTGTGCCGATAGTTTCTCCCATTTTCACAATTTTCCGCCGTTCGAAGTTCGAACTACGAACCTCTTTACTTCATAACCTGCCAGTAACTCAGGCAGCCTTTAGTTTTTATTTTTTATTCTGTGACAACTGACATTTTGTTGTGCTTCAAAAAATTGTGACTGTTTTTGAATTTTAATTTTTGTGTATTATTTTGTGATGGCGTTCAATTTCGATAGCGGACAAGTAAGTAGCTAATTTATTACAAATGTTGTTGCTGCAGGTATTAAAACTTAACCCTCTTACTAATAAAACTTACACGCTCGTTGAACAGTGTTTTAAAGTGACGTTTAGTATGGAAATGTCATTTTAAAACAGTGATCAACAACTGTGTAACTTTTTATTAGTAAGGGGGTAAGTTACCGACCTACATTACTTGTTACTTGTTTACATAGGTACCTAAGTAGTAACAGCGTTTAAAGTAAGTTATAAATCTTGTATTCTTGAAAGAAAATACAATATACCTATCCGTTTATTGCTTTTTACGACAGGTATACTAAAGAACTGGCAGAGACAGTCTAAGGGTTATGTACTAGGGTGCATTACATACCTCATGTTTTTCAGGGGATTTTAGATTAGATTAAAGTTAACATCGTAAATAAGAACTGGTTTCTTATTACGATGTTAGCAACGCACTTAACCGCTTGAGTCACAGACGGCATTCATTAATGTCATAACAATTGATTATCTATTGTGTCTAGATTCGCGAGCCTTGAAGGATTAATAAACCAAGCTGTTTTTTAAACCGTTTTTAAAAGCCCCATTGCAGATACTTAGGGTAGGTAACTATTTTAAGGCAAAAATTTTCCAGCTTGCACTTATCGTCTATAGTACTCGTAAGGTACATATAGTAAGGACTGTCTTGCCGTGTTTCTACTCCAGCTAATCTAACAAAGTTAATCCCGGGCTCCGCTTGACACCGGCCAGGCGTCGTGCCCGCACCTGCATCGTCCATTCTCCCCAGAGCCTCGTTTTTTGCGCCATCCAAATTGTAATTCCTTTAATCCAACTTAGTTTCATCCAATTACATTGCAAACATCTTTAGTGTTATCACCAAAATTACATAATAAACCCTAAAAATAGACAATGTAGAGTCGAAATTCGTTTGTATTTTGCAAGAATATTTGATAATCGAGAAGAGGGGTGACTTTGTATGGGTGTGGATAGTTTTTTACACCATTGTGTGTAGTGTTGATCCGTGTTGGACAATTACTCCACTGGTGTTTAGCTAATAGTGCAGTGAATCTGCATTTAATTGTTTTCGTCTATTGTTGGACGCGATAAAAAATGATGGCTCAGGAACTTGTCATGTTTTAGAAATCCCATGTAATGTATGGGGCATTGGGGATACAGTGACTTTATTTTTGTTAGCGTTATGATGGCCTTAATTTATCTGTTGCATAAGTTTTTGTAGAAATCACTTAAAATACAGTTTTGGGCTCATTGTCATTAACCTGCTTTCCTTGCGAATGTTTTTTTGATTACACCACACAGTAGCAGAAGTTAAAATGATGAGCGAGCATAATCCTTTATTAGAGTAACCAAACCATGACTGTCTTTTGTGAATATCGATCAATTTCCAAAGGGCTAAAAATAGATGTCGATTCGTATAATCTATTTTTATAGGGCTCGAGGTAATTGTATAAGAAGTTAGTACATACTTTCGGAGTCTGATTCTTTATTCCATAGATGGGTATGGCGTGTCGTGGGATACTTAACCAAGGCTTATAAAAGCATGGTTTTAAATGAAAACATAACTAGACAAAATGTACGAGGGCTGCACTAAAAGTATCGGGAATGGAATATTTCCACTGTTCCAGTCATATTAAAATCTATTTAATTGCAAACTCCAGGGTTTTAAAAATCGTATACCATTTATTTATTTAAAAAAAGAATCTCGGTCGTATCACAAGGTCTAGTCAAACTTGTTTAGTCGTTGAGAAAATGGAATTGACTCGAGAAAATTCAAGAGCGATGATTTATTATGACTTTCGGAGTGGTTTAACACAAAAACAGTGTGTTGACCGGATGATTTCTGCATTTGGTAATGAAGCCCCATCCAAAACCACAATTTATCGCTGGTTTCCTGAATTTCAACGTGGACGTGTCAAGCTCAGTGATGATCCCCGTCAAGGTCGTCCAAAAACTGCAGTCACCTAAGAAAACGTTGATGCTGTGCGTAAGCTGATTGAAGAAGATCGACATGTGATATACCGCGAAATTCAGGCAACTTTAGACATTGGCATGAGTCAAATACAAATAATCTTGCATGAACAATTAGGTGTAAAAAAGTTGTTTTCCCGATGGATACCGCATTCGCTCTGTGAAGAGCAAAAAGCGGCTCGCGTTACTTGGTGCGTCAGAACTCTCGGGAGATTACATGCAGGATCCTCAAATGCTGTATACAACATCGTATCAGGTGACGAATCATGGATATACGCGTACGAACCCGAAACAAAAAACCAGTCACGAGTTTGGGTGTTCGAAAATGAATTAAAGCCAACAAAAATTGTTCGTTCACGGAGTGTTGCAAAAAAAATGGTGGCCACGTTTGTCTCCAAAACCGGCCATGTTGCGACTATTCCTCTTGGGGGACAAAGAACGGTTAATGCAGATTAGTATGCTAGCATTTGTTTGCCACAGGTCGTTTCTGAACTCCGTAAAGAGAACTGCAACCGCCGCATCATCCTCCATCACGACAATGCGAGTTCTCACACCGCGCACTGAACAAAAGAGTTTTTAGAGCAAGAAAACATAGAATTATTAGTCCATCCGCCGTACAGCCCTGACCTAAGCCCTAATGATTTCTATACTTTCCCTAAAATAAAGAATAAATTGCGTGGTCAGAGATTTTCATCACCTGAAGAAGCTGTGGAAGCCTACAAAACGGCCATTTTGGAGACCCAAACTTCCGAATGCAATGGTTGCTTCAATGATTGGTTTCGTGTATGGAAAAATGTGTCAAATTTCGCGGAGAATACTTTAAAAAGCAATAAATACATTTTTAAATAGTAATGTTGTTTCACTTCCTTGATTCCCGAAATTTTCAGTGCCGCCCTCGTATTACTGTCTTCATTCGTATCTACTTATTCGGCTACGTGCTTTTATCACTCATTTCGATAAAAGTCATAGAACATTTACTTACATAAACGTTTCTAAGTAACTACGGTTGCCATTAAAAATATTCATTCGTTTATTCATCTCTAAGACAAACCCCAATAAAAATTCAATGTGCTCATTAATTACGTCAGGATTTCGATCCACTTTTGACAAGATAATGCTAAATTATGGCGGGCATTTATAATTTGGCGAACAGTACCATAATGTATGGCGTATAATGTAAATAACCAACCCTTTCGAGGGGATGATTATTGTGAAGCGCTCTGCAGGGGCCGACACCTGCTCTATGGCCAATATTTTTTGGTTCGTTAGACTTAATTTGGGACTGATAAAATGTTCTGAGCTAAAAATCTGCCTTTGATTTTTTAATAACCTTTAATTGGTTGCGTTAAAATTAAATAAAATAAAAAAAAAACAATAAAAAAGTTCAAAACGCAGACTGTTCCAAACAGACTAAAGCTATCTAGACCTTGAATTTTATTCAAATCAAACTTTAAGTACATTATCAGAAGCGTGTAATTGCGTTTATACGCACACCATCATAATTTTGCGATATTTCATTGCAATCGGTAGATAAACGTATTAAACTTTACTCTACACACGTGTTTTTTTTTAATATCTGAGATAAATGCAGTCGGGACTCGATAGAGAAAATCTTTTGGCCTTATCAACATGTGAACAGACAAGCATAACTGCTTACTTAAGTGTCTGAAAAAATATCCATTATGTAATCTGAAAAGATATCCATTTTGAAATTTTATATGTTGCAACTGTTTTTACTTACCTACATAAATAAATTGCGTTGACAATTCAAGGGAAGGGAATTCCTCTATCCCTGATGACGTATTGACACATCAGGCTATCACCATCCCATCTCATTTGTTGCGGTTGTTTAAAATTTAATTTTACAGCGCTGTCACGTGCTGTGCGCACGCGCCGCGGCGGAGCGGCGAGTAATCAAAATACGCGTCAGGTTCCTTGATTGAGGGTTTGCAAATTACAGTAGCGGTGCAGTAGAAGATGATTTAGTAGGTTCACTTTGTAGGTATGTCAACAGACAGGCAGAATCACGCAGATTTGCCGTGCAAGTGCGTTTTTGCTTCGTGCTATCGGCGCGTGCACCGTGTGCAACTTATTAGATAAGTTAATGTCGTGTGCGTATCTGACGTTATCAAAAAATTTACTTGTCTGCAAAAGATGTTTTATCTTTAATAATTAATATTGAGTCGGCCCTGAAAACTGCCATTAACAAGAAATAAAATCATGTGACTTTTCTAAGCGAATACAAGCTGTTTTCAANCTGTCAGGAAAAGACTGACTCCCGATCTTGTTTCGGAAGTTTGAGATGAATCTGTTAATTGTTCCAGTACCTCAAGAACTATCTCAAACTTATTTTTAAGCATCTTGACAGCTACATGTCTAGCGCTCCAGCGCGTTTCAGTGACTCGTTTCACTGCTTGGCCTGTGACGGCAACCAAAGCGTTCCATCGAACAGTTGATGCAGAAAAGAAGGCAAATAGCTTCTCCAGAGTTCCAAAAAACGTCACGGAATACACTGATTCAGAAGCAGCGTGTACCCCAGCCAAGTTTAGCGAGTGGTTTGTGCATGCAACGTATAGAGCTTTCGGATTCAGTGCTTTAATCCTGGCTTGAACTCCATTGTGAATCCCTGATATTGTGGCAGCATTGTCATAAGCATGTCCTCTCAGATTCTGTATGTCCAGTCCGTCTGATGTTATCTTCGCGATTATATCATTGCTGAGATCTTTTGCATTTTTTCCTTTTGGTTCGAAGAAGTCAATGAAAGATTCTACCACGGCGACTTTTTCTCCTTTGATATGTACGTATCGCAGAACTTGGCTCATTTGGTCATTGTGGGAGATGTCTGGTGTACTGTCGAAGATTACGCAATAATATTTAGCTTTTTGAATACGACGGATGATGGTGGATCGAACTTGCTGTCCTAGTAAGTTTAAAATTCATTCTGGGTTTCTGGAGATAGATACGAAACTGAGATATTTTGCCGCCCCCGCGAGCTGGCCGCCCGGGGCGGGCCGCCCCCTCCGCCCCACCCACGCTACGCCACTGCATGAACTCAATTCCGATATTAATATCGGAATTCCGATATTGAGATGTAATATCGGAATCCAATATCGGAATTGAAAACCTTCCGATATTACATGCCCTATTGACAACCCAGCTCTAGATATTTCCAACAATAAACAAATTATCAAAACAACATATTGGGCGCCAATATATGCAAGTAGAATAAAATATTAATATCAGGTGCGATTGTGGTCAAATACCTGCCGTGTTATGCATTAAAAAAATCGGAAATTGAAACTCACAACGAACGGAACTTGATTTAAGCTTTATGTAACTGAGAACGAACTTTACATATCTACAAGGAAATCATCGGAACCATTCCAACCCGCATTATTATCTCGATGTGTTATGGGTAAAATCGGCGATGTTGACATGACCTTGACTTGGTCGTAAACCCATTTATTTGTCAACATACACGCACAAACACTTCCTGAAGCGTGTCGTGTCTCAGAACAATTTGTTGGACCTGCGATGTTCAGCATGAAGCCAATATTTGGGTTAAGCTGATAGTCGACCTANTGAGGACACTAATCGCCTTAATCATTTCTTGCATCTATTTAAAGATCAGCCGTTGCTTTTGTCTGACAAATTGCTGTTGGCGAACCAGGTGGAAGTTTGGTATAAGTAATCAAACAATCGTTTTCGCAGAATTATTCCATTTAAATAATGATCGTCGGCTTAGTTTATACAGTGATTCTATCGGCAAAAAGACAGCATACGTAATTAAGTTTTTGCCCTAAAATGGTATTGAAAATTTTTTAACCATCATTTTATAATTTTGCAGTACATAGTGCTCTTTGGGATTGTGTCTAAGTTACCGTGTCGTAAGTAACAATAATGCATATGAAAAACACTTTCAAAAATGCAATGGCATTTTTACAGCTGAAGAGCTAGCAAAGGAGCCGCCTGACCACAGATTCCCAGATTGGATCAACCTCCGCGTGCAAAGACCCAAGGCTGCCACCGCACGCATGCGCCCAACCAAACGCGCCAAAGCCAAAAAGGAGGAGGCACCGTCTCCACAGGACGAGCAGACCTTCAAAGTAAGTCAGCTTGGGCACACGCCAACTCTGTCAACCAACCTCTTTGACAATCGCGATAAACTTTTTAATCTATATCCAACTACGTTACTACTCTGTGCTCAATCGATGTTGGCGCGAAAACGATTTGTATGTGTCAGTGAAGAAGTAGGTTAGTGTCGCGGTGCTGTGATAACTTGAAGTTTATGCATGTTCTATTTACATTAATGTTTCGTGAATGAAAGTACTGACACGCTAAGGAAGTCAGGAATGTTGTTACTTTCTATGCACCTACTCTACATTTTAAAATATTATTGGCAGGTAGTTGCTAANTTTTTCTTAAAGGTTTTAAACCTTTGTTTGTCACCTGTCATCCGCTTTGCAATGGAGGGAAGTCGAACCTTAATTTCGAACTCCTCCTATGTTCTTCTGATTAATTTCGTTGCGGGTCCAATGACAGTTTAACTTTCCCCCGGGACAAACTTGACCTTCATTGGTTGGGTTTTTGTGACGGTCAAGCTGTAGATCCTGGCTACACAGGAGTTGCAGTGGTGGGAACGAGAGGTGGGAATAGTCCCGTTTCTACATTTTAAAATTCTTAACATTGTTCCAATCTAAAGCGGTATTTTTGTATCCTTTACTTAGAAAGTTTTTTTTTAATTCCATCAAAGAGTTACAACAATGAATAGCCTTGGTATTTGCCGACCTGTCAAAACGTCTTGGTCCTCTCTTTTTTTAGATTTCATTAGATGACTTTGTTGAGTGGAAAGAAACATAACTTTATGCCTCGGCATCTTCATCAATCAATATCATAAAATATGCGTTGCTAGTAATTCAATCAGAATAAAAACATTTTGGTAAACTATTTGCATGCACATCTTAGATTTCAGCACGCTACGACCAATACACACGTGCACTCATAGAAAGCAATACCATTTTTTACTTTATTAGCATTGACATAGAGCTCACATGAGTTACACAAAACCTGAGCGAACATAAGGAGTATCATTTACATATGCCAGTAGGGCACGCTTTGTTTTTGCTTCGTGCGCATAAACGCGGTTAGCTAGTACAATCCAATCTGCCCTTCGAGTTGATATCTTAAGAAACTTACGGTAACAATGGAGACATAATAAATCGTGGCTTACGCGAAGTAGTGCTTAAATAAATTTACCTGCCTGACGTCGAGACGTTATTACCTTCATGTAGAAGTAGAATTCCTATTTATTTTTGAAGACGAATGAGACTTGCTTTTAGTTATGCACGTTTTCATTTGCCTTTCTTATATTTTCAGCCATATCAATGTCCGTTCAAGCACAAACACAAAAAAACGAAAAAGTGAAGACATGAAGATCATAGAAAAAATGCACTCACTTAGATATACACAATTTAGTTAGAAATTGAAAAAACTTACCATTTTTTGAGGTTAATTTTGTGTAAAATTTTCCATGTCTGTACAAAAAAGGACCCGGATACTAATCAGGATTTTCAAATAGAAACTAAAGATACTCAGAGGGATAACTTTGAAGAGGAAAAAGATATCCTAAAAACCCCTGACAATCCATTGGGTTTTATAAAAAAAGAACCAATCGACGAGGATGGTAATGGACCCTATATCCCTGGAGCATTAACTGAACCAGAAAAAAGGCACGACAGTCACAACCTTCTAGTCAAAGAAGCCGTAGAACAGATTCATGGTCCTCAAGAAGACGACGAAGACACATTTTGGCGGAAAGTAGCCGAAAACGCCGAGAAAAATGAACAGCTACGCGAAGAGAATATGAAACACAAAAAAAGTGGGACACCCAAACTACCCTACGTCAACGTCTCTCAAAATTTTCAGTTCGCGAAGAAGATGCACGTAGGGAATCTGGAACATCAGCCGCTTCCAGATACATTGGGTTACCGTAATATGACTAAAATTGCTGAGCACAGGGACTCGGATATTATTGTCAAACCATACGCTATTGGCTGGAAAGGTTACGGCGCATCAGGACCTACTTGCTGCACAAAAATGCGCGTTCATAGACCCAAAACCTGTGATAATAAGAAAAGTGACGGAGATAAAGAGCCGAAAAGACCGTCCACATCAGGACCTAATTTAGGCGGTCAATACAACAAGAAGCCACTGTCTCTTATGGATCTAGCAATTTGTTGGGACTTCAGACTTGACGATCCAAATCACGAGCCTAGACGACCAAAACATATAGATGGATCAAACGGCTCGAAAGCACCGGCGGTGTTTACTATGGTGCACACTCCTAAAGAGGAGGTAATCGAAGAGTTGACCGGACACGCTAATCCAATTTTCAATCAGAATCGACTAGGCGACGATATGAGTCGTCATCCTGTGCCATATTTCGAGAAAGATATGACTAAGGATAAACGGAGAAATTCGTGTGATGTTCAGTACTGTCCGCAACACAATGCGCACAGCGAGAAAAGTTCTAAGTCGTCGAGCAGGAAGAGTTCCGCACACTCTGCGAAGAAGCCAGAGTGTGATGGGATACACGGTTGTGGAACTCCAAGCGACACTAGCCGGAAGTCTAGTCGCGATAGGAGGCCAGAAAAACTCCAGCCTATCAAAGATGCGTGGAATGTTCACACGAATAAAAACACTAAAGTTGACATCAACAGCAATCATAGGCACAGTCTGGAATCTTACGAGAAGACTCCGCTCGCTCAGGGAAAATTGCATCAGAGTTCTCCAATCGAGTCGCAGAATTCCAGGCGCTCGACTAAAGATAGCGTGTCGACTACACGGCATAAGAATTGTCTGCCTTGCTGTGAGAAGGCTCCTCCTGAGGTTAAGCAGAAGGAAGATTACAAGTTTGCGTTTAAGGCTGGGAATCCGAACTCGGTGAATAGCGTTTCTGGTTCGATGGATTCGAAGGGTGTGAAAATTCCGAAGATGCGTCATCCTTATACAAAGAAGTCTTACACGATTCCTACTTTAGCACCGCCGTTCAGTATCTGGCGCGAGGCGAATGCCAGTGGTTACCCCGAGCACTGGCGCTTAGCTAGCGTTTACCAACACGCATACAAACCGCCGGAACAAAGACGCAAGCCTCTCATAGAGAGTGTGTACCAGTGAACACCGTATAACAAAAGAGTTTGTAGGTATTACAATGTCAAAAACTTCCACTTTAAATATTTTATCTCTGTATTCATAATTTCTGTGATTCACAGTGTTTATTTATGAGTAATTTCAGAGTTTGCCAATAAAGTTATAGATAGTTATCTGATATCTAACAAACAATAAAGGTCGCTGGTTACCAGTAATTTTATCTGATATTGATATCGATATTCAACATCTTTGAAACTACAAGAATATCTATTACATTTCGTCTATTTCATCCAGTTGGATATCCATCGGGTAAACTTGTATTTAAACTTCTATTAGCAAACTCTGACCTTCTAGTAATCTTATCCTGCTCATTTATAATCGTAGGTTAAAATGAAAGCAATTGTTCCACATAAATGTTTATTGGGTCCAATTACCAACACATTGCAATGTACAGTTTAAAATAAATTCCTTCTCGGTATCTCGTTTATCATTGATAAGGCGCAGGTGGCTGACACCTGCGTTCTTATCTCCATCCGTTGATAAGGGAATTTCGTCCTTGTGTCACGCAGCTAGTTCAGGGAAGGAATCTTTCGTACTCCATGAAGAAGGTGCATTTTCGGATGGTCTCCCAGGCCTTGGTGCAGAAGTGGAACCAGCCTTTTTCGGAGAGATTGGGCACGTTGGTTATCTGGTGGCGGTGTACTCCCATCACCATCCAGCGGAGACGTTTGGCCAGCTGTTCGAATGGCGGGTGGCCGCGGTAGGTTTCTTGGTTACCTGTAAGACAGGTGTAATCAGGACTTGCTCGTAAGGTGTTTATGTAAGCAACTGTGGGGCAGATTCTTTGAACGTCAGATTTACGATTTTTAGAAAAAATCGGAATTTGTTAAAAAATTACTTACCAACAGAACGGTTACTAATATTATTGTCATTCTGGTATATTACCACAGAATAATAATAAGTATTACGTACAGAAGTTTTACTTCGCGAAGGTATTTAAAAAAATGTATGCTCAATGTCATTAACAATATGGTGTAATTTAGCCTGTCTCAAGAGTCAAGCACCATTTTGTTGACAAACGTCAGTGATCGGCACTGCGCCGAAGCTATAGGGCTGACTTCGGTAAAATGATGTGAGGTGCCAAACTGCGGAAAATGGCGGAGGAAATACATGATTTAGCATGAATTATCATGAATAATATTAACTACTTATTTACCTCTCAGTGTCTTGAGGCAACTTAAAAAAGTACATTCTGTGTTTTTATTATTATTTAGGCAGTTAAATACTGCACAGTATTTAGTACACCATTTTCTTTATTTTCTTCCATCATACACAAGAATACGCATGCGTGAGTCAATGTTCGCTCGTATGTGTGGCCTTGTCGAATAGTATCCTGTAGGTGGGCCATCGTGCGTGTTTTGTTTTCGATGTATACTCGCGGAGATGAACAGGCCTGATATTACTTGTAAATTGTAATTGTAACAAGCATCGAAGAAAACAAGTGAACATAATAACAAGTGGTCAAGCTCGTTGGTAGTTGGGAATAAAGGGTCCATTAGTACTAGGAAACCTCATACATGAAGTGCGGTTATATTTTTGATATGTTACAATAATGTCGATAACAGAACAATGCCTCAATACTATTGAATTCTATGCGATTTTGTATTTGCACTATCGATAATTTACCGATTTTCCGTTAGTTTAAAACAATCGCTACTATTCCNTAATCTAAGTTTTAACCTAAGTGTAAGTATTCTTAAAAAATTTTATATAATATAGCAAATTGTTAATTTATTTAATTATTACTTAATTACTATTTTACGTGTGATCTTTTTTCGCCTGAAACACAGGTTTTTAACCTAGTTCAGGCTACAAAAGACTATTGAACTATATGTAAACTCTAGCATAATAAGTTCTTATAATGTTCTTATTTTGATGAATAAATTATTATTATTATTATTATTATTATTAATATGCATATTTTGCGCTATCGATGGCTTAGCAAGAATTTAACTATATCAGGCGCCTCACCGCAAGGCTGTATCTCAGGCAGCATGAAAAGTTTGAGCGAAGCACCGCAGCGTTTGCAGGCCCGTTGCGGTAGAGGTTTCTACTGCCGCATACCGGTAGACTATCGATATTATGGGGACGTCACTATGCTCACCGCAGGGCTGTATCTCGGGCAGCAGGAACAGATTGAGCGGCGCACTGCAGCCTTCGTTAAGCGGCTCGTTGCGTTTGCTCTCGCTATACTGCCGCATACCGGTAGACTATTGATATTATGGGGACTCAGATCATAGAAGGGAATAGATGTGAAACGGGGGCGTGGCGCGTATCTCCGCGATATGCCCAGAAACGAACATCGGCCGCGTAGCTAGGTTAGTCGCGATTCAGTCGTACTAAGGAAATGTTCTCCGATATTTTGGATAATGCGTCGTTACGTGCAATAAAACAAGTGAAACGAAGAACTACAGGAACAATGGAGTCATTTACTACATGTACTCCATCATGGAGCCATCATGGAGAATCATGGAGTTGCAAATCCATTGGTATTTTGCTCATAAATAAAAAAAACTAAACATTTTTACGAACGAATTCAGTGCCGTAACAGTTACTGCGATATCGAAATCAGTGGTGATAAAAATTCTAACACACTTGTACATTGACGATTTAGTTAGCAATAGCAACCACTTTATGTCATGCTCAACTACTGCGCAATGTATTTAATTTCTTCCGATATCCACTGTCGTGTGAAAATACACAGTACGGCCGCATGTGCCGGTCGTAACATAGTGCCATGCTCGTGTTCTAATGCGGTTTTCTATTATCGATAAATAGAAGTAAATTATAATTTTCTATTTTGTAATTTTAAATAAAAAAATGATGTGTTACTTGTGATTATAAGATTTTACAAAAAAAAAAATAACAGTAGAAGTAATTAGTAACTGTCAACTATGTAATTACATTATTTTTGATAAACATATGCGGTACGCAGATCGCCATAATTAAAAAGTAAATGCGTGATAGTAGTTAATAATAACGTATAATAATAAAAAGGTTTTCATACATCAGCATTTTGTGAAATCAGTTTCGCGCCTTGCCCCTAGCGATTTAAAGTATCGATATCTTGTCGACTCTATTTTATCTTTATTCTCTCACTAGCGTTTTCAAAGTGTGCGTCACGTCACGCGGCCATTGATTGGCCATAAGGCACGCCTTCTGGCCAATCACAGCACTTTTAAGCCGGTTGCACATGTTGTCGTAGACTCTCAGTCGCTTTGTTTTTACACAGTTGAATGTGTGTGTGGGAGCTGTGGTGGGGGAAATGTGGCGACACTGGTCCTCGTTGTAGTTACGCGCGACTTCATATCTATTCTCTTTCTATGATCTGAGTATGGGGACGTCACTAGTGCTCACCGCAGGGCTGTATCTCAGGCAGCAGGAAGAGGTTGAGCGGCGCACTGCAGCGGTCGTTAAGCGCTTCCATACTTGAACCCGGGCCGTTGCTTTTGCTGTCGCTATACTGCTGCATACCGGTAGACTATCGATATTATCGGGACGTCACTACTCACCGCAGGGCTGTATCTCAGGCAGCAGGAAAAGATTGAGCGGCGCTCCGCAGCGTTCGTTAAAGGCGCCCATACTCGAGCCCGGCCCGTTGCGGTTGCAGTCGTTGTACAGGTACATTCCCGACTGCAGTTGCAGGTTCGACTTCTGGAAGGCTTTCCTGGGAACACACCATAATCCATCATAAACAAAATCACCAATAAATAGTTAATATTGACTGAAGGAAATGAGGAGATCCGTAAACGAACTAAAGTCGCTGACATAGTCCGACGGATTAGCAAGCCGAAGTGGCAATGGGCAGGGCACATAGTACGCAGAACTGACGGCCGATGGGGCAGCAAGGTTCTGGAATGGAGGCCGCGTACCGGAAAACTCAGCGTGGGACATCCACTTACAAGGTGGACCGACGACATCGTAAAGGTAGTAGGGAAGCGCTGGACGCAGGCCGCTACCAATCGATCAACGTGGAAAGCATTGGGGGAGGCCTATGTTCAGCAGTGTACGTCCTATGGCTGAAATGATGATGATGATTGACTGAGATTCTTACGCTGCTTCTTCTCAGCACTGACCCATTTATTATCTCGAAGCAGAGGTAGGGTTAATACTGGGACGTGTAAAAGTGCTTTACAAAAGCCTATTTACAAAAATAAATGAGTTATGAGTTTTTTAGGAGTTTTTTACCGACATCACTCACTTTCTCTCTTTGACATGGACAAACGCCACGATCATAATCAACTGTCAACCAAGTTTGGGTCATACCTGTAGACATCTTGCATAGCTGTAACAGCTTCTGGAGTGAAATCTTCAAGCTGGCATCTGAAACAAATACTTCAAATAAAAAACTGGTCATCTAATCAACAGAATTCACAATGAACTTGTGTACTTTTTTGTGTTCATGGTTGATTTGCAATGGACTCTCCCTTTCAATGTTACGGGTGGGACAATGGACGGTCCCACCCGTAACATTGAAAGGGGGGCGCCACCGTCCATACCGGATCGCTTGTTCCGATTTTTGCCTATTGGAAACTATAAAGTTGAACGATGGTGGCGCCCCCCTGTCAATGAGTTTAGTGGAACAGTTCAGTGTAGGTCATCTATATTTAGAGTAGGCGCACACCGTTGATTTTTCGTCGGCCGATAGTTTAGTCGGGCAGTTGATCAGTATGGGCATGTATGGGAGTGCGCAGACTACGCCGATTCGATTTAGCCGATTCTTCATACAATTTAAAATCGGGCACAACTATCGGCCAACTAAAAATCAACGGTGTGCGCGTACTCTTAATTTTATTCTGTGGTAAAGGTACAGCAACAGCAGATCGAACAATACATTTTTGTTGCAAATTAGCCTCTATTACAACTACATAAGATGCTATATACCTGTTGTGTAACAGCAATAGATGCGGCTGCGAGTCGGCGCCGTGTGCCGGCTCGTTGGGCTCCTGGCTGCCACTTGAACTGGACAAAGATGGCTTCAACATTTCCGCAGCTTGGATGTACCTGAATAAGTTAAAAACATAAACATGTTAGGCCAAGAACAGACGGTGAACGCAACTGCAACTTTCTGATGAATGAAACTGAAACTGAAAGTTTCAAACTGCGTCGCGTCATGTGTGGTCTCTCAACGGACGCTATGGCAGAAACTAAGATGCAACTCAAAAGTAACTAAAGCCTGGTCCGTGAGCACGTAGAATCCCGTCAAATGACCCCAAGCTACCCATCCTTATCGCTCGCGCGTAATTATATTGCTGTCGCGACTGTGCGACGCGCGCCCGCAGTGAGTGTGCGAGCGCGACAGCAACATAATTACGTGCGAGCGACAAGGATGGGCAGCTTGGGGTCATTGGACGGGATTCTACGTGCTCATGGACCAGGCTTTAGCAGTTGCAGTTGCGTTTCACCGTCTGTTCTGGGCCTTAGATGTTCTATGTAACATCCAGTCTTATGGGATCTAAAATAGTAAGATCACGGGACTTAACGCGACGTTACATACAGAATTATGTACATAATGTAACTCATTAATAAACGTCGCGTTAAAACCCGTGTCTTAGGCTGAGTTGCACCACTAAACTTTAACGGTAACTTTAACTATAACCGGTACTTTTTGTATGGAGTTTGACAGATTTTTGACGTTTGTCAAAGTTAAAATGAGATGGTGCAACCCAGCCTTACTATTTTATGGGATCTACTATTTGATAAAGGGTAAAAATTGGTTTCTAAGTGTAAATGAGTAACAAATTATATTATCGGTCTTCTAGGGCAGGGTTTCCCATTTTTTTTTTGCCAAGGAACCCTAATTTATTATACTTTTCCTAGCGGAACCCCCGTACTACTCCGCCCGCACGCCCTGCCCCTCCCTTGTGCGTAAACAAGTCGGTGCGCGCGAACAAGGTCGGTCACGAAACGTGGGATAATATTTTTTACGGAACCCTTGCGGCCTTTCCACGGAACCCCAGGGTTCCGCGGACCACCTTTCGGGAACCGCTGTTCTAGGGCTTAACTCGGTCAGTTTGAGGTATGGGAGCGGCACAGGAGGGTGTTTTTGAGACGAGAAACGTCAGAGAGATTTCAGATATGCTTCAGATTTGTATGCTCTTTTAGTCATAATATTATTATGTCAATGCCGCCTCTCCCATGTCGCTCCCATACCTCAGGTACTGATTGAGTTAAGCATAATAAGACTTATAGCAGGCCTGTTCATCTCCGCGAGTTAACATCGAAAACAAAACACGCACGATGGCCCACCTACAGGATACTATTCGACAAGGCCTCACATACGAGCGAACATTGACTCACGCACGCGTATTCTTGTGTATGATGGAAGAAAATAAAGAAAATGGTGTACTAAATACTGTGCAGTATTTAACTGCCTAAATAATAATAAAAACACAGAATGTACTTTTTTAAGTTGCCTCAAGACACTGAGAGGTAAATAAGTAGTTAATATTATTCATAGGGTTCGAAAATATCTGATATTTATTATAAATATCAAAATATCGGATATTTATGATATATATCCGATATATATCAACTTTGATATATATCAATTTTGTATGAAAGCCATAATATTATTTTATTGTATTATTCATGAATACTATTGCATATGTGTTACATAAACATGTTTTTAATGTTTTTAAAACTTAAAATCAGACAAATAAAGCAAAAACATAAAATATCTTTGAAATACGGCAAAATCAACTAAAAAAATTAAAATCTTATGTCAAAAAGTACAAATACAGTAACAAATTTTAAAAGTTGATATATATCATCAAAACCGGCTTGATATATATATCGGATATATATCCGATATATATCTTGATATATATCCCTTGATATATATCCTCGAACCCTGATTATTCATGATAATTCATGCTAAATCATGTATTTCCTCCGCCATTTTCCGCAGTTTGGCACCTCACGTCACATCATTTTACCGAAGTCAGCCCTATAGTTTCGGCGCAGTGCCGATCACTGACGTTTGTCAACAAAATGGTGCTTGACTCTTGAGACAGGCTAAATTACATCATATTGTTAATGACATTGAGCATACATTTTTTTAAATACCTTCGCGAAGTAAAACTTCTGTACGTAGTACTTATTATTATTCTGTGGTAGTACTTATTATTATTATGTGCTTATAGTATGGTTTTAATTAAACAATATTACATTTCGTTTTCGTTTCAGCCAAATGACGTCCGCTGCTGGACAAAGGCCTCCCCCAAGGTTTTCCATAATAACATAATATTACATACCTGATAAAATTATAATCCGTAAACCAGTCCTGCACTCCAATTAGAACATGGCATATCGCCATCAAGTACGAGGCTATCTGCAAGCAGTCCACGGTCATGACGTTAGTGCTCCTGGCCGTTATAGGGTTGGTGTTGGACTCTTCGATCAGCGACGGAGACCACAGCGCTTGGCAGTCTAGCAGGATGACCCTGTCGTTGGTTATGTACATGTCTATGCCTGGAATGCGAAAGAAACATTGTGATGATTGTGAATTTAGTATGGAGTTTGAATGCAGCTTAGAAAGGAGTTAAGCTGTAGATGTGAAGTAATGTGAGACATTTTTCGCTACTTCTGATGTCGTGACATCTCATCTATTTGTGGTTGTTTGCCTGTTACTTGTGTAAATACTATGCTAATATGCCAATTTAATAAGAATAATAGGGTAAAAAAAGGATTTAATAAGCTATGCAATTATATTATATTTGGTGTGTGTTGGTTGGTTGATTTACATTTTCATAGTTCTGTAACAAATTAATCATCAGTAAATAGCATTACCTTTGGTACAATGGGTGCCCCTTTCAATCTGCTCAATGTCCTGCATTTTGAACTTAAAGTCAACAGCAGAAGTTTTCTTATCCTGCATCCCAGAGAAGTTTAAGGCTTCCAACTGATTAGAAACTGCAGACACATCATTCAACACAAATGTGCTGTCGGCCAATTCGTGTGAGTGTAATATATGGTTACACAGTTCTTCTGTGTGCGTGTTCAGGGCTATTAGGTTCATAATCATTGATTTCCCAACACCTTGATTACCTGAAAGTTATAAATGAAACATAAAATATTGTGTTAAGTATTTCATTTAGGTTTTATCCATAACTAGCTGACCCGGCGAACTTTGTTCCGCCTTAATGGCAATAAATAAATAAGCAGACTTTTTTTTAATTTCGAACGGGATAAAAAGTATCCTATGTCCTTCTCCTGGCTCTAAACTACCTCCCTGACAATTTTCAGTTAAATCGGTTCAGCCGTTCTTGAGTTATAAGCGAAGTAACTAACACGACTTTCTTTTATATATATAGATAATAATTTAGTGGATGGAATTCACATTGTTTTGAGACAGTTTCAAGGTCATTCAAGTGGGTTCAGTTCAGATACCTTATGCTTTTTTGATATACACTCGGCATCAAATAAATCGCACCTCCCGCGACAAGCACTTATCAAACGTATGCATCCCCACTTTCCACCAACGTTGGTACCATTTGAAAGCCTAGTTCTAAACTTCATTTCATTAAAGGAAAGGTTTTTACCCCAAAAATGTGTCTTTACAAGGATCCAGAGACACTTCTTCAAAAAATAGGTAGTTACGCTATAGCCATTTTTTATGACTATAAAACTGTTAAGTTGGGATTAATCGCTATCCATCTGTTAAAGAGGACACGTGAGATCTTTATTTGGTTTTATAACCATAAAAATTGGTCTAATTGATCCCAGAGGTGAGCCCAAAGTGAGGTCTATTTTCAAGTCACTTTTATGGTATATGTTAATCATTTATTTAGAAATGAAATGTATTTTTCTTTAAGGATATTTATTGGGCTTTCAAATAACACCAATATTGTTGGGGTACCATAATTGTGTCAGAAGAAAATCTTTAAAGTTCGCGTCGCGGAAGGTGCGGTTTATTTGATGTTGAGTGTAGTATAGTAACTACATATTTGTTACACTCATACTTAAGTTAACGAAATAGTGTTAGTGTCAAATAACTAGAATACATACCAATAATGCCTACAACTAAATAGTTGGTGCTAGAATCATGTAGGAATTCCAGGGCAGCATTGTTAAACTCCAAGTTCTCATCCAACAACTTCACAGGCTCAGTCATGAATTTTAATGGCGGACTTGGCTTTGAGTCTGAAACATTTTTACAACAGCTTGTCTATAAAATAGAGTAAAATTAAAAACCTGAAATAAAAACCTAAATTAATAGATGAAAAAGATAATTAAAAGATAATTAACTACAGACTATTACCTAAAATTATGGATATGACACTGAAAACAGATTTATTTACTGAAGTTACAATTTATAAGCATTTAAGTCACACTTTGTTCACTCTGAAATGTTATGTTTCGTTCGTTTCAGCCGAAAGACGTCCACTGCTGGACAAAGGCCGTCAAATGTTATGTTTACATAATGTTATTTCAAATACCTTTTTTTTCCTTATTTTCATTATGAGCAATTTTTGACGGCTGGATTCCATCGTTTTCTGATGTTGGAGACTTGATACTTTTGGGACTTAGCGGGCGTTCTTCCTTGGAGGTGCTTTGCTCACGTGTCTTAAGTATTATTGTGGGCTGCTTTTCCCTTTCTGGTTTTTCTTTAGGTTGCTCCTTTGGAGGATCTCTGTCTGATTTTAAAATGACCGGACGCCTTGTTGTAGTGTATTCCTGCATTTTATAAAATTTGTTCAGAACTACTTCTATCAGAAGAAGTACCTACCTAATAGGTAGATTCTTAACTTACCTTCGGCGTGAACACTTTTTTCTTTTTATCAGACATGCTGCATTAAAATAAATTTACCTACAGTCCTACAAAAAGATTATGTTTTGTTGACTTTTTGAGGTTGTTTTGTTTTGACATCTTTTCACTTTTTTTGACTGCTTTTGACATTAATCATTGACATATGTTAAAGCCTGAGCCCCGATTACGGTAACTTTTAACGTCTACAATCCAGACGCGTTTCTGATTCTGCAATACGATTGGTCAAAACAGCTGACGTACGCTGTTGAACGACCAATCGTATCGCAGAATCGAGAAGCGTGTCTGGATTGTTGACGTTAAAAATTACCGTAATCGGGGCTCTGACCAGGAACATAAAAACCCTGGCATAGAGGCGCGTCAATAGCATTTGATAGTGCAACACTGAGTACAGTCGCACCTGTGTTAAATTAATAGGCTAACTTTATGTATCAGGATCCAGGATTACGGGCTAATTTGATATTTTCATAAATTAACGAAAAAATATTATTATGGGTAACCTGGTTTAAATAAATTAAATGAAACCATCAATCGAGTTAGTAGGATTTATTTTATTATTCATCAATAATCAGTTTCAGAACTTGAATATTCAACTGCAATGTCTGCTCATGAACGCTTCAAACTCGGTACTTCTTTCCCAATTCCATAAAATTCAACACTTAGAAAGAGACAAAAACTTTAAAATAGGTATTTGAAACAAACCACAGCTAATTTTCATAGTGGACTGTACTATACGATAAACATGTCAGTCAATTTGACAACCTTTGTCGGAAACATTATTCAATGAAAATATTGTCCGAACCCTTAATATTTCTCTTCGACAAATACTTTAACACATTGTGAACCACTTTTCTTTAACGACTATAAAAAGATTTTAGCAATTTAATGAGGATCAGTACTGTTGTAGAAAATTCAATAAAACTAGTATCTACGTTAATCTTTAAGACATAAGAAAGATATTATATCTTTTTGAATTATCCAAATCGGACCATTACTTACGAAGATATTAAGTAATAAACATAGGCCGTTTTTGCCGCTAAAAGTCAACGTACGCAAGGCCGCGTGACGTCATTATATCCGAATCGAGCGCAGCCGGCGTATAGTTCCAAAATACTGGACTGTCCTGTCGATGACATTGACAGTGGGGCGCCACCGTCAATACCGGATCGCTGGTTCAGATTTTTGCCATGTTGGAAACCATATAGTTGAACGATGGTAGCGCCCCCCTGTCATTGAGTTTGGCGGGACAGTTCAGCGTGGGTCATCTATACTAATGGGNAAGAAGAAGAAGCAAAACCAAGCCGCGCGTCGCGTCGCCAAAATAAAAGAAAAAGATAGTGTAGTAACATAGCCTAATTTTTTACTTTTATTTGACGATTATAATCTTCTATTAAACAATATTATTATAAAAATGAATCGCATAATGTATTGGTAAGCGCATAATTCAACTACGCCTGCTGAACCAATTTTACCAATTCTTTTTAGGGTTCCGTAGTCCTGACAATGAACCCTTATAGTTTCGTTATGTCTGTCTGTCCGTCCGAGGTTTTGCTTGGAAACTATAGGTATTAGAGAGCCGGCACAAAATGGTAGAATAAAATTTTGAAAACTATTCTTTTTATTGTAGCTCCCCTACATGTAAAGTGGGGATGATTTTTCCCCATCGTGTGCCCAATCCAACTTGTCCAGGGGCGCAGGTGTGAAAATGCATTTTGTGCAATACCTTTAAAATTCTATCGATAAGCAGCAAGTAGAATTTTGTTCAATATTGTTAGTTAGCAACACTAGTGTCATGTCTGATGATCTGTATGTTTTGACAGAGGGACGATACGCAAAAGATTAATTCGATTTTTTGAGACGATGGCCGTGATAAGTAATATAATAGGTTTTGCATTCGTTTATTTAGTGTTTTTGGGACCCTTTGGATGTAAAGCAGACACTTGTGCGCAAAAAGGACCATGCAGTTGCGTGTACCCAAACGGCACCGGTATAGACTTAAGTCCTTCGGTGCTTCCTCAAGGGTTCTACCAGGTTCAGGGTTTTAAGACATTCTACAATGCGTCTGTAGTATCCCTATATGAACTGGACACCTACTACTTCCACCCCTGTGCTGATGTTTCGCTGAACGTATCGCGCTTCTCTTGCGATCGCCCTATGTCTGTAAGTAGAATCACATGTAATTACAAGGCATTATAGTTTCAAATTACTGTTTACGTAAGCTACAGATATTCAGCGCTATGAAAGAATCTGTCTTTTATGAGTTGCATGTACATTTTCTCTATCAAGTCAATAAGACTTCTTTTTTTACTAGAATTGTTTAAATAAATGCAGAAAAATGCCACTCAATTATTTTGTAACAAACTATGCGATATTTTCATTTATAGAAATTGTTAAAAGATGTAAAACCGCAAGGACATATCTTGTTTTGTCTCTAAAAAGATTTTTTTTAACTATTAATGCATTGCGAAAGCTTTAAAAATAATATAGAATAAGCAGTTGATCATTTACTAGTAAAACTTTTACAGATGTATCGGGAAGTGTACAAGTTGAACAAAACTGCTGGCGCTGGCATAGGTTCCATGTTCAATCTGTCTTACACTAATTGTGAATTTCTGGGAAATAAAGAGGATGCAAACTTCACTTCTGGGCCATCCATCAGCTTCCATAATGGACCTTCGTGAGTATTTTGTATTTAATAAGATAAACATTTCTACAAAACTGTACGTCCTAAACATACAATACAATTGATCATTCTATTGTTTGAAAATAACAAATATTAATTCCGTTTTGACTAATATTTTGGCACATGAGTTTCCTTTGTCCAGCAGTGGACGTCATTTGGCTGAAACGAACGAACGAACGAGTTTCCTTTGTATTGTACTCATAGTGTACACTTACAAAATACAGTACTGGGTTATTGTGCAGGATCAAGTATATGATTTGAATGCCAATAAATTCACTAACTAATCTATGACCTACTTTTTCTAGAACTAGAAATAAATAAAAACATTAAGAGCTATAATAAAACTTATAACTTTCATTTTTGAGTTCTAAACCAAACAAGTCTTTTCTTAGTTAAATGTTAACTCAAATGGCACAAAACAGGTTTTCTTTACATTAACCACTAATTTAAATATGCCTCATTATGTATGTATCAAATAAAAGTATACTAGTTAGTTTAGGCTGATGGAATTTTGACAAAACTGGTTGTTGTATCATGGTTGACTTTAGTAATTTATTAAATGATACCTCTATAAGACTTGCATGGCAAAGCATCAAGGTGTAAATTAGTATGTGGTGTTACACATACTAATTTAAACCTTGATGCTTTGTCTTAAGGTAAAAATTAATACAACATTTGTTAAGATAGGCTTTTTGATGGTTTAAATATTTTATAGCATCTTCTGTATTTTGTTTATTTTTTTGTTGGAAAATATGTAAGGTGACCAAATTAAAAGTGTAAACACACCTGTCCAGATGACTATTACATGTTGAACATTATTAGTTTACTTATGTAATGAGTAGGCTACTTCAAAACTAACTTATTTATTTTTATTCTATTCTTCACAGTACCACTACCATATTGTTAATATGCAGTGAGGGCGACAGTCGACTACAAATCTACTCATTAACCGAACCAAATGCAGTTGTAAGTGTAAAACAGTCATAATAAATTATTATGGTTTTGCTATAAAATTGCATATTTAACCGATTGAGTCCCAGACGGCATTAATTAATTTCATAACAATTGATTATCTATTGTGTCTAGATTCGCAGAGCTTGAAGATATTAACTTTTGGTTTTGTATAATAAAGAACAATGGGACATTTTGTATGAGCTCCGTCCCCTATTATCTTCTATATTATAAAAGAAAGTCGTGTTAGTTACTTCGCTTATAACTCAAGAACGGCTGAACCGATTTAGCTGAAAATTGTCCAGGAGGTAGTTTAGAGCCAGGAGAAGGACATAGGATACTTTTTATCCCGTTCGAAATTAAAAAAAAGTCTGCTTATTTATTGCCATTAAGGCGGAACAAAGTTCGCCGGGTCAGCTAGTATATATATAAAAGAAAGTCGTGTTAGTTACTCCACTTATAACTCAAGAACGGCTGAACCGATTTAGCTGAAAATTGTCAGGGAGGTAGTCTAGAGCCAGGAGAAGGACATAGGATACTTTTTATCCCGTTCGGAATTTAAAAAAAAGTCTGCTTATTTATTGCCATTAAGGCGGAACAAAGTTCGCCGGGTCAGCTAGTAATTTATATTTTGAAGTTTCGATATTTTGCTCATTCAATATTTTGATCGTTCGATATTTTGCTCATTCAATATTTTGATCGTTCGATGAAACATGTCCGATATTTTGATTTTCGATTATTTGTCATTCAATATGGCGGAGGTAACCCGTATTAAAGTGCTACAGTTTTGGGGACGTTTGTCCCATTGTTCTTTGGGATAGTAATGGGTAGTTCAAACTTCTATTTCTTGGAAAAACATAAAAAGTGTTTTGTAACTAGGTAACGTTTTCCTCCTCAAGCTTTAGAGTCTTTCCTCAATAACTTTGAGTATTTATTATACTGTCTTAACATACATAAAATTTATTTTCTTACAGATTTTAGCGTTCTACTCAAAAGATGCATGTCTGAAGCAAATCGAAGAGCCTGGGAGGTCCTTTGGCTCTACTCTTCTCATAATATTCTTCTCCTTCATCATATTTTACCTCGTCCTCGGAGTTTGTACGAAGAAATTCCTTATGGGAGCCACCGGGATAGAGGTCATACCGAACTTAGCGTTTTGGTCTGATCTGCCGAATCTAGTCAAAGTGAGTACCTACACTACATAGTATAAAACAAAGTTGCTTTCTGCTGTCTGTCCCTATGTATGCTTAGATCTTTAAAACTACGCAATGGATTTTGATGCGGTTTTTTAAAATATACGATGATTCACGGGGAATATTTATATGTATGTACACTTAGCACCCACGCGAAGTAGGGGCGGGTCGCTAGTTTCCTATAATAGTGTTGTGACTTGTAGTCTAAAGAAATGGGCTTAATGATATAGTTCAAGAAATGCTTAATTAATTTGAGAATAGAGGTCGTAAATTCGTCGTTTACATTTGAAACTTGTTTTTCGATTTATAAATAAACACGTTTTTTATATTTGTGGAAATCCGAAACAGACGTAATATCAAGTTTAGAGGAAATAAGAGCCATTTAGATAAATGGCCTTATGTAAAAACAGATGTGATTCAGATTATCACATGTGTTTCTAGAAAATAGTAAACAATGTTTTGCCAATTATGAGTTTGATGGTATGTATTTTATGTGTTTGGTTTGGAAGAGGCCAAAAAATGGAAATAGCCCTTGTGGAATCTTAAGAAGAAATCTGATATTTAGTAGTAGGTTGTCATATTATTATGGTTGACTGGTAGACCACACAATCGGACAACAATGCTATTATTACCACAAATGCAATAGATCTACCATCTGAATGAAAATAAGATTATTTTCTACTTAACATCATAAATATGCATTATAATTAACTTAAAAAACAAATTATAATAATTTAAAATGTGCTTGTCGCAATTTATCGATTTCCTCGAGTGTCCTCAGCTTCAGCGGTAGAGTCCATTGTAAAAAAACCCTTTAATCTATGTATAGCAGTAGTTTCCAATAGTTAATTAATAAATACATTGGTCAATAAATCCACCGGATAGCTGTAAACCGGCGATATTGGTTGAAATGGGTTAAATAAAACGCCTAGTGTTGCCATCCACGCAGTTACTAAAGAAATGTGTGCGATTTACGGCCAGAGCCCCGATTACGGTAATTTTTAACGTCTCCAATCCAGACACGCTTCTCGATTCTGCGATACAATTGGTCGTTCAACAGCGTACGTCAGCTGTTTTGACCAATCGTATCGCAGAATCGCGTCTGGATTGGAGACGTTAAAAATTACCGTAATCGGGGCTCAGGCTGCAGCTGGCGAATGTCGATAAAATATCTTGTTTGTGTAATAAATGGAACAATTCTACAAATTCCATTGCCAGGATTTAAACTCACCACCTTAACGATGAGCAGTAATTTTGGGGTCATTACACCTATTCATTGTCATAGGCTAAAGAAACTGCAGACAAAATGATTGCAATAACACGTTTACACGTGTGATAAAATACAATCGTCCGCGTCATCGCAATTGGCAACTCTCCAAAAGATGCTTCTTTCAAGCAAGCATTAGGATTTCCAATTTCGCTTACGAATGCACATTTAGTAGAATACGTATAGGATTTTTTGTGGTACAGTCAGCGTGAAATAGTGATACCCAAGGCCAAATTAGCCAAAAAGTTCGCAACGTAATATTATTTGATGTCTTATTGACTGTACCAAAAACTTGATTAATAAAACTAATTAGTAACATTGTATGTCAAATACTTAATGAATGTGATAAGAAAACACAGTTTTTAGGTTAACAAACAAATGATATAATGACATAGTGTGTTCAACATGCTGCTATTTGTCTTGCATCGACTGTTAGCATTTTGATAAAATAAATAAATTAATGTTCTTCTTCAGTCGCCTTGACTCAAGGTTAGTTTTAGGCTACAAAAAAAAAGAATTACCTATTTTATTATTTATTTCATAATGCCATATTTATTGGATCATAAGTCGAACTTAATGTTACAAGGCATCATTCGAGCTAATCAACAATTGATACTTTAAAAAGAAAAAAAGAGTAGTACAAGAGTAGTAATAGTACAGCCGCTACCAACCGTGCGATGTGGAAGTCATTGGGGGAGGCCTATGTTCAGCAGTGGACGTCCTGTGGCTGAAATGATGATGATGACAACTGCGTAAGACCCCACAGTGTTTACCTTGACGTGCCGTCGTCTGTACATAATGAATGAATAAATGAAAGAAAGATTTTTTTATTTAGTCCAAAATCCTTAGACTACAACATAGTTAATGCAAGTTGTGTTTTGTTCTATTCCAGGACGGCTGGGCGTTCGCAATCAGAGGTTGTCAACTGCCCACGCGTGGGATGAGCCCCGCCGGCCCGTCGGATCCCAACAGCTACGACAGCATATAACATCCAACCGCCGAGAACTTCAGCGAAGGTCAGCTCGTTCTCGTTGAGTAAATGAAACATTCACCCCCTACGTATAACGTCGTAAGTGCACTTACGATGTTGTTCAGTTATTTGCTAAGTGATGAATTTTCAGATGGTTGTATTACACCATTAAATAAGTCACTGGTTCGGCATAGCTTCGCTTCTTCTCTTTTTCGTATTCATAAATAATATGACAAGCTTGAAGTCGTACTGTACCGTTTAAGGTAAATGAAAAAACACAATTTTAAGACAAGGTGCTGCTGATCCAAAACTGGTGAACTGTAGGCCTAAGATGCGCGCCGTGATAGGCGGTTATCACACCATTTTATCGATTTTGCCCATACAAATTGACGCCGATAAAAGTTATCACGGCGCGCATCTTAGGCCTACTGGTGTAATACAAATATTATATCACTACCCAACTTATAACAATTAAAAAATCAAAGGTAAATAAGTACCATAACATCGTAAATGCACATACGATATTGTTCGTCGTCGATGTTATTCATAGGAGGTGTAGTTAGTTCGCGAGTCTTAATTCTCCTGAACATTATCTTCGGCGAAAAAGGCTTGTTAAATTGAAACTGATTGCTTTAAAAAATCGTAACTATATTTATTAGTTTTTTGTGCCTTCTGTAGCCTAAATACCGTGTCTGAAGTGCGAATTCATTTATGAAGCTACCATTTGCAACTTTCGTACAGTTTTTTTTAAACAAAAAGTTATATTTCATGGAAACGCGATACAAAAGCAATTGACTAAAATATACATTTTAATCGTCTTTCTATCGAAGTCTACTCAGATGTTCTGACGTGTTTTTTATATTATAGCGAGTGCGTACGTACTAAAAATAGTTCTTCGTCTATTTCGTGTATCGTTGATGAATTCATAACAAATGTATTACCGTTGCATTGAAAATATTATATACTGCTGATTAAAACCAGAGTAAATACAAATGAGTAGGTCATCTTCATAGAAACGCCCGAGCGCAGTTTGTATGTGAGCGCGTTGTATTTACTCTGTTAAAACCGAAAAGTGTACTAAAATTATTAGAAATTATATTTACTTCAATAAAAAAAAACTTGAGGATAAGCCAACAAACATATTTTATATAATCTACATGGTTTATCAGTCCATAATAATTTTGTACTCATTAATGTTGTATTTACATAACACCTTGCATCGCCCTTCATCAATAACAAGGTCGTAAGTGTTAATTAAGTGATAGGCTTGACTTGCCAAAAACGAAGCGTAATGCACACATTGGACCTATTTTATTTTCTTAAGCAACAGGAAATTTTCAAATTTTGGCGCTAAATGGTTGGAAAAAAAATTCCATTGATGGAACTAAATCAGTCACTTTGTTAACTTTTTACAACTAACTTACTAATTTCATAGCAAACTAATTAAATAAAATAAAAAGAAAGAAAGATACATTTATAACAATGGACATCACACAAATACAGGCAATTACATAGACATGACAGTGGCACATAATAATGGAAGAAGAAAAAAAAACAAAAGTAAACAGAACAGTGCCACCCATTAACCATTAATAAACCCCTAATACCATTTTTGCACACATTAAAAATGTTCCAGTGAACATCTTCATTTATTAATAACGACTAATGACCTAGAAGAAAGACGGAATTACTGATCTTCACGAGTAGGATACAATAGAAGGACTGAAAGAAAATACAAATACAATGTTGTAAGTACTAGTACAGTTCATTTTTAGGCCCCATGGTTGTTGGATTGTTAAGATTACGGTTGTATCAGCGTTGTTTGGAACAGTAACAGTGTCAGTATAATTATTATAATGGCGCCTTCAAATTAAAGGCGTTGACAATGCGCTAAAAATATGTACTTGCAAGTGTGCTTCTAGAAATTGTATGAAAACTAGTAAGCTCGGCGCACTGCGGCGCTTCCTCACGCCTCAAATTTGAAAGCTCCTATAGTGTTTTATTTAGTTGTTATTATTTGATTTCTACATTTGTATAATAAATATTTAATATAACTATACTGTAACTCGAATATTTAACATTTGATATATGAAAGTGCCAATTTATTAAAAAGAATCTCACCGGAATTGGTGGTTTGTTGTGGTGATATATGAAAAATTCTCAAAAATTGCGATCTTATAAAAATTATATTCCTCTGAAATATATGAAAGGTTTCTCTACTATAGAATTTAGCAATAATTTTAACAATAGCAACTGCGCACTGATACTTTATATGCGTTTTTATCTAAGACAAGTAATGTAAAATATCTATACATAAATATCTAAGAGAACTGTGTAACTTGTAAGTTGTTATAATTACAACAACATACAACCTATTTTGATCTTTACATGTATTTGAAATAAATTATGTATATTTTAACTACCTTCACATATCTAATGTAGATGTTTTTGGCGGTCTTACTTTCTGAAATTCTTTAAAAATTTATTGGACCAATTTAAATATTTTCTTAACGTTTGATAGTGATACGTATACCACCGTTTTGGTAAGGAAAACCAGCCTTTATGTTGGATCTATATAGTCATATCTCTAATAACGGCTAAAACCGGATAATATTCTTATTATTAATAAATAACTGTCTGCATAATTTTATACAAAATTTGGAAAACATAGGGTAATATTTTTGATTGTATACCATAATAGCACCCATATCAATAAGAGCGCTTTCACATTAGGGCGTTAGTAGCGCTACAGCAGCGCGGCAGCGGCGTTTTTGTAATGTGAAGGCATCAGCTGTCACATAGTATCAAATTTTCGACAGCGCGTCTGTCGCGCGTTTGTCGCGCTGCTAAATCGCCTAAATGTGAAAGCGCTCTAAGAGCCAAAGCACACGATGCGTTGCGGCGGCGGTGCGACGCCGGAGCGGTGTCGCTGCGCCGTCTTACATAGAAATAATATCTGTGGCGCCGTTTCTCGCGATACTTCGAAATCTTTGCGGCGCAACGCATCGTGTGCTTTGGCATAACCTTTGCACAAATTTTAGAACACATACTAAATTACATAATAAATAGACTGTATAGATATTAGAATCTCGATCAAGAATAGATGCGCTGTGAAGATATTTTTGTTAGAACACCTAGTCACTTCATTCGTCCGATGCAACTTGAACCTTATGTTGATTACTTTAAGCTCTATAACTCTGGTCCATTGTACATTCTGCTTAATGTTGACATAAATGTCATACAATTCTACTGTGTTTTAATACAGAACATAGTCGTAAATAAACTACACACATAATAGATATTTTATGAATCTTGTGTATAATACTTTTCATTATTGTTACAATAGTTACACATAACATTACATATACAATTGCCAAATATAATTTCAAATGCGCTAGGTATATTTTATACTTAGTTATGTAGACTTTGAGATATAATGTAGCCTACATTTTATATAATTATAATAATTAAGAAGATTCAAACAATATATTGTATTTTATGAGGCTCTTTGAATAATCATAATATACAAAATATGAAATTACCTTGAATATAATCGAATACATAATATTATTTTTATATTTAATATTCCATTAGTTTTCTTACAGTAGCAGTCGAATTAGTACACCTAATTATCGAATATCATAATAATGTAGTTAGGAATTATGTAATTTTTGTGATCTTGTGAAAAACATAATAATTCGAATAAATGTAGTTTACGATAAGTGGAACAACAAGTATTAACGACTAAACTAATGTATTAAAATGTTAAATTGGCAGCAAAAAGGTCTTTGTGTAGTAATAATATTAAGTGCTATACACACTCTTCAGATAAACTTACAAAAGTGGCTGATGTAATTTCGAGTTTCATCGTACGTAAAATACGCTTCGTGAAACGATTTCGAAAATGTAGCTGTCACTAATGTTACTTTGTCTAGACCCCCATATAAATATAAGTCATTCTTCTCAACAATAGAGTTGTCGATCTACTCACAATTATCTGCGGATACGCAGCGGGCTGTGTGTACAGCGCTTTATATCGAGTCAAATCAGTTAAAATCTCAATTACTTGTCATTGCACTTATTAACTTAGTAATAATCTGTAACTTAACCCAAAATTCTATTGTTCCACTCATTCGTTTCGTTTGTAAGGCAAAGTTGTGTTTTGTTTGGACGGGTATTAGCACGTGTGTTGATGTTTCACGTATTATAATGAAACAAAAAAATATTTTTTCTAAATCTTATCAATATGGCACTGTATAGATCGTTTCATCCATAAGACGCGCCCCACCATTCTTTCGTCAATGTTTGAGTGTCATCGGTACGCACTATATTATCCATGAGTGCACACGCACACTACAATAATGATGCTCGGATTGCTCGGATCAAACTCCCCGCACCCCGCGCTTCCCTCGACCAAAAATTGGTGGGGCGCGTCTTCGTGGATGAAACGATCTATATTTAATTTTGTTCTGTTTTGTGAAGGTATGAGTTGGAAACAACAACCAGCCTACCGCCGATTTAAATTTTGTTTTTTGCCGTTGTCTGATTTTTTGTTTGACACATTTTTCTGTCGATTCCTGTCATTTGTCAAAACAGTCGCCATTAAAAAACTGTGAACTTTTAGATCTTCCAGGATAGTTAGATATTTTTGAAACGTATTATTTTTGGTTGTATTTTTTTAATGTTAAAATCTTTTGTTACAACATTTAAAATCTCTACATAGTAAATAAAGCATAATAACGTCGCATAATGTATTAGTTGGTAGTTTTGTATTCTTTTGAACACAATTGTTTGTTTTTATAAGGTTAAATAAATAATTATTGCTCATTATGAATGTTTTATTTAATCAAGAACTTATTGTATAATTAATTTATTATGTGGAGCTAAGCGTATTTTCTTCTTATTGCAATTTTGACAAATCGAAGCCCAGCTGAAAATCATAATAATAAATTAATGATTGAAAAATTATTAATGTTTTCATTATCTATTATATGAAATCGAATTAAGATTCTCAGAAATGCGGTCTGATCGCCATCGCTGCACGCCGGCTGATCTCGTGTGATCGCGTTGGTTTGCCTTTACACAACACATTCGTAGGGAAGAAGGTGACAGTCAGAAAAAGTTATTCCACTAAATATGAGAGGGATCTAAGGCTCTAAGCTATGATGAGCGCCAAGAGTAAAAAATATGTATACCTTATCCCGGATAATACACTCAGCGGCACGGAATTTGGCCCAAGCCTAAATACCCAGATATGAGGCCAAATAGGTGTTGTATACCTAAGTTTCATGTGACATGTTAACAAAACATTTGTTTTTGTTAATTATGTTTTCACGATTACATCTTTAGGCACTGAAGCTAAGCTTATGTTACTATAATAGCTTCTACAGAAGAGCCTGATAAATTATTTCTACCATTGGTTTTGTGATAGTCTTTGTAATTACCTTAGGAGCGTTGTCAAGGAAGCACTTAGCCAAGTTGTGAGCTCGTTCGCAACCAGCATCCCCGTCGGACACTGCGTCGTCGTTCACTTAAAAAGAAATAAAAAAATATTTGGCACATAACATTATTTTGAAGTGAACAAAGAATTAATTTTGTGCTAATTCAGCGGGCATGTAAAAAAGTGTGCCAAAAAGGTCCCCGGCTCAGCATTAGCCGTGACAATGTATGCCGCAACGCTGATTTCAGCTGGGACATTTTGGGCACTGGGCTTGTGGTAAAAAAATAAAATAAAACAAAAACGAGAAATAAACCCAAATCCTTAGTTAACATGATTAACAAAAAAATAAACGATTTACAGTCCAATCAAACAAGAGTTTTGATAAAATTAAACAATTGTTTCAATGTAAAGGACTAATTTTGCTGCCTTGATTGTCTTTTCTAATTTATATATTTAACGCACTATAGAATGATCATAATTTAATTTCATAAAAGTATTTTTTTGCAAAATTATTGTAAAATTACTAATTTATTGTTATTTAACTTATTTCAATTTAAAATTTACTAATGTTCTGTGCTACGTTAATTCAATTTCTTTTGTGTAACGCCTATAATTAAGATAGCACTTAACCTATTATATAAGCATGTATAATATTGTCTAAAATGGTGTATGTCTTGTTGGTGTTAATAAATAAATAAATAAAATAAAATGTGACTCCTCATTTCGTACAGAACTTTACCTGTTTTACACATTTCAAACAATTTTTTAGCATTCTCCATCTTAGTCGGGTCGTCTGCGTAATCTCTGTCCGCCATTTTTTTGGCCGTTTCTACATTATATTGTCCTTTTTCATCCATCTGAAGGCAGAATAAAATTTTAAAAATCATATTAATTTTTAAGAGGACACTTTGGCTAAAATAGTCAGTAAAAACAGGTGTAATCTGTTTGATTAATAAAAATGCCCCATCTACCTACAATGCAGCAACTGTTTCAAATAAAAAAAAACAGGTTTTAGATGTTCCCTGTTTTTCGAACATGAGATTCAATACTTGTTTATACGTTTCTATGCTTCAGAATAAGCACGCAGATTATTAGATTATTAAAAAAAACATACCTAATGTTAGACTTGTACTTATAACATGAAAAAACATATAACATTGTCGGAATGACTGTACCACGGTCGAAAATATTGTGCAAATGCGGGTAGGTAAAGAAAATTGATCGCGCCGGAGCAGACGACGCCGCATCTCTTCAGTCTGCCCGCGACTATGACTCGTGCAACTGAGTCGAAACGTCGGGAAGGTTACCTTTTTACCTTTTTTAAAGTGTTTGTGTGTTGCCAAATCCTGTATTAGTGAGAATTTAGTAAAAAAGTAAATAAAAACTTGTAAAAATGCAGGATGAAAGCTAAATATTATAAAAAGAATTGTCCTATCAATAACGAAGAAGGATCGTTAACTCACCCATTCCACCTTCTTATAGACGCACGCTATAAAGCAGTTAGAGCTTTTCGTGTTAGGCAGATGGAGGCTCATCAACATCTGCAGTTCCTTAGCACTCACGAAGTTGCTCTTGGTGCAGTCCAGGGCTTGGCTCAACAACCATTGCCGGATTTCTGCTGGAGACCGCGACGCCTGGAGAAGTGGAATGAAGTCACCTATTTTAGAGGTATGTGCTACTGATTCTTGCTGTCTTTCATACGTGTTTTTTTAGCTTCAGTTTTCTAGAGTTTATAACACTAATTTTTAAAGGTTTAAACCCTTCCAAGTGTGCTAAATGAAATATTTATGTGCTTGTGTCAAAAGTGACTTCTCTACAACAATCCAACGGTTAACGAAGATCTAACTGGCATTTCTCAAAAGTCGATAGTGTTGGATTCTCAACACTTAGGTGTGAGGGTGAATAGTGATCACAAAGGAGCCTACAGATAAGTTAATTTCATTTTATTGTGTGTAATTGTGGTGTTAATTCATAAGTACAAATTGTTTGATACAGTTATTTACTTACGTGAGTTCCAGCAACGATAAACGCCACGAATATTATCTTAAAAATCATTGTAGCAGACGAACGCAGTGAATGGCGATTTTGTGGTGAAATTGTTTTTTATATACCGTTATTATGACTGTCTAATTATGCATGTAATGTTCGTAACGATCGGATTTCGATCCTGAAACTGATTCACATTTAGATAATGATTTCGATAGATAGTTGATCTGGACTTACTAATGGCGGCGTATCATTTAGAGATTTTTATTAAACGACCTTGGCGATACAGAGATACAGTCAATTAGGTATCGTGAGCTTGCTGAATTTAAGTTTTTAACATTATTCACCTAAAAATAGCTACAAAACACTTTTGTGATGCTACTGCTAATGCACCAAGCTAACCACCAACAGGCAAAGATGGCGAGACATCTTTTTTTTTCTTCTGGTCTTTACTCCTGAATCCAATCCATACATACAGGTAGGTACTACTCCTGACGACTACGACCACTCTGTCAAGAGTGTAACGACTGAGAAGAAGAATATGCTGACTATAAAGTAGGTACCTAAGAGTATTTTCAATGTGACTGTTCCTATTGCGAGAAAAATATATTGTTTTTCCTGATCCCCACACACCCTAATCTGTAGTCTGCCTAATTAGCAATTTCTCTATAACAAGTAATCATACATAAGAGTAATATTACATGATACCATTTATACCTTGGCGTAAGTACCAAAATATTAGGCAACTCGTTTTCATTACCTTCTCGCTTCCATCATTAGTGACGATCCGGTGGTTTCGTATAAAGGCTGCAATCATTTTGATACCGACAATAATTTGGCTTTTTCAGGTACTTGGTTATAGCGTTATAGTGGTTATAGTAACCACTTATTTGCCATCATCATGATTCAATGTCAGTCCATTGCTGGATATGGTCCAGTTCTTCTACGTTTACAGTAAAATATGATGAGTAGCCGCCGAAAGACATACCCTAGTTTGGGCAGGCTTCTCGGCAGGCTAGGTGGATCGACGATCTGATGAAGGCCGTGGGAAGTACCTGGATACGGGCAGCGCAGGGCANAGAAAAAAACTTTTAATAACATTTATTCTTCAAAATAAAGTAACCCATCGACCAGTAATTTTTCAAAATCACTGGTCGATGGGTTCATAAATCATACCCAACTTCTGGCCGAGGGGGAAGTCATGCCCAGTTTATGACCTGGGGAGAGGAGAGGGGCGGGGTAGTCATACCCAGCTTCTGGGCTAAGATTAAATAGATTTCCAGCACGGAGCGGCTGTCCTTCCTGCAGCAGCTGGCCCGCCCATGGGAACGGCGAATAGATAGGTAGGTGCGTAGGTTTAACTCAGAAAAACTAAATAACAGGTGCTCAGCGAGACGGAGATGGTGGATTTTTAGTGGGTAGGCCCCTCCCTTCTGGAGGGGAGAGCCCCACATAACCCGTCGCCTGACCACAGCGGCGGGTATGCAACTCAATGCATTTTTACCACCGAAAAANTCATGACTGTGTCCATCCTGCGGCTCCGGCTTATCCTTGAATTTTGGGACACGTTGTATATTCATCACTTTCCTACTCCGGACCCAATTGAAGTTATGCCTTTCGCACGGCAAGGAAGACTATAATTTTCTTAGCCGCACGGTAAGCGAGACGTACACAAGGTCTATAGACCTGGTTTCGCACTCAACGTGTTAAGAATTTCGAAAAATTGACAGAAACGTAATTTCTTCCATACAAAAAATATGTATATATATTTTTTTACTACGAAATAGACGTCGTAGGATTGTAACATTTTTTTGCCTTATTAGTTATCATAACAGTAACCATCAAAAAAAAATTCGTGCTTCTAGCATCAATGTCCATGTTTTATTAAATCGGGACCACTGTGGGCCGGTCGTTGTGGAAATCTCAATCCAACAGTAGACGTTATTTTCTTGACACTTTTGATGTGTGAACGAAATAAAATTCTATGATATTTTTGTCTTCTACGTTTGCAATTTCATACAATGAAATTGCTCTTAATTATACAGGTGTCATACGTGGTACAACACAAATTATAAGTCTGCAGAAAAAACGCGTGTTAATGGACCATTATGGCTGCATAGTGTTTTGCTGGCGGAAGTCTGTGATATTTTAAATATTTTTCTGTTCTCCTGTATAATTATGTTAGTCAGTATTTTTTTCATCATATCAAACATCTACTTCTAGGTAACACCTAGACTAGATTAAGACTATTGGTACATCGACTGCCTCAGGTGGAATTTGAACTATTTATTTTTTATTTAGCAGGCTAATCTCTTCTTTTCTTTCTTGTTTCTTGCGCTGCTTCTTCTCAGCACTGGCCCATTTATTGTCCTGAAGCAGTGGTAGGGTTAATACTGGGACGTGTAAAAGTGCTTTTTTAAAGCCTACTTACAGAAATAAATGAGTTTTACTGAGTTTCTGTCTCTGTCGCCTAAGGGTTCCAATCTGTTCGGTGTAGGCCCCGAAATCAAACAAAAAAAAAGTTCGTAGGACCGCGAGAGGCTAACTAAACTCCTGGGTCTATAAAAGTCTTAGTTCAAATGGGAGTCTTTCGTTGGTGCAGTCGGCCTCAGGTGCCTTACAAATCTTTCAGTTGGTTTATCATAAAAGTTCTAGTCAATAGGTGTCACAAAATAAAATAGTTTACGAATGAGTACTTTTTATTATGGGAAAAAGAATATACTTGGGTTGTGATTGTAGATGCACTTGGTGACGTGGAAAGCTGCGTCACACGTGTCTTTGTATGCGTCCGCTGAAAAATAAACACAAATACTTAATAGTACCATTTTTTGCACCCATTTACCAACATTTTGTGTATTCGATTGGGAGGGAATTGCCAGTACTCGTCATGCTTGGCAGGCGGGTTGGCGAGCGCAATTTTTTAAAAATAAATTGCTGCTGCCCATTTTTTGCTACAGGATTTAGTCGCCTCTTACGACACGCCTCCTGTTGGCAGTGGGGAAATGTATTCTTTACGGGCGGCCTTTCCCACCTGGTTTAAATAATAATAATTCACATAACGTAACACTTACGAACTTTTCTGCAAGCTGCTAAAGCCTCTTTGGCTGGTTCCTTCATGTCTTCAGGGAGCAGAAGGTCTACTTGTTTTATAGCTGCTTCGTAGTTTGGTTTGCCGTTTTTTATCTGGAAGGAAATTATTTATGAAAATACGACCTTCTTTGACATCATCAGATAATTTAGTTTTCGCTGCAGGAGCAAGACCCTTAGTAGGTACTTGACTTTGAAAGGAATTAAAATAAATTTGCAAAAGTATAGTATGATAAGTAAGTACAACCCAGTCGAGTTAACTGCGCATCTGGCAGCCGTGACGTCACATCGACGCCACGGTAATACTATCTATACAGTATTCCAACTCGGCCATATTTTTGAAATAAATGTCAACAGTCGCGCGTCACGTCACAGTATGACAACATGCGATAGGGCTGCCCACGTACATTACCCAGTTTAGGTAATTACATCTGCCTACTTAGAATTTCTATCTAGTTTTGTGATTGTATTTTTTTATTTAGTTAGAATAACAAAATACTTTGTGAATGGAATAGGTTAAAAATGTGTGTTGTTTTGTTATTAGTAGATTTAATTTAGTAAAAACTACTTAAATAATTTTGAAACTTTAATAATCATAATGATCTGTTATTTTAATTTTGGGCGGGCGAAGTCGTGGGCAAAAGCTGGTTTAATACAATATAATTTTCATTTCAAATCAAACTGACTGAAAATGACAATTTGACTAGTTTTTGACCAATTTGACCGTAAATGACGGTCAGTCAAATTCAATCAGTTTTGTCATTTTTATCACTATCCATTCGGCACATTCGCGACACCCCCGACTTTTGCATACCGAGCGCATACCGAGATTTGAATTTCGAAAGAAAGTTCTCGTTCCGTCTGTTTATATGAAGTTATAATACTGTATGATATTATTACCGTGTCGACGCTCTAGTACGGAACGGGGCGAATGCGAGGTGTGCGGGTAAGTGCGAGGGAATCGCATTCCAGCGCAGTGCACAGTTAGCTCGTTCGGGTTGTAAGGTACAAACCGTGTTAGCCATTTTCATGATGCAGGCCATGTAGCATTTGACTTCCTTTTCGTCTATAAATATGCCGTCATTTAATGGGTCGATCTTTTCTGCAAAAACATCGTCAATATCTAAATTACTAATATTCCTGCTGATTCTTTCACTTAAACTTGTGTTAGGAGTAGGTTCATCTTCATTACAATAGTCCGGTGTTGAGACCTCTCGAATCGATCAGTTCGCTGCTTAAACCGTCGGGCTACTAGTTGCTTGTTTCTACAAAAACTGTCACAAACCAATGGAACTAAAACACCCTTATTTTATAGTGCAGTTTTAGAATATTCTCGACTAGTCGAAAATCGGTAGAGTTTATAAAACACAAAATATATGCATAACGTAATTTTCAAGTTTTATGTATTTTTAATGATCATTACCATCAGCGGCGTTGTTTTTCGGCTGGCAGGATTTCCTCATCATCTTGCCGGTGTTTTTTATCTGTTTCAAAGTCATCTGAAATAATAGAATTCACTGAATGTTTATGTCACTTTTGTGTGAGTAAGTGGGCTAACAAGTCTTGTTAGGAATAATACGGTAATAAGGTAGGTAATAATGATCACTGCAGTGTAGGTCACGTAAGTATTTTAATAAGCTAGATGTAATAACTGTTCCATTATCTACTAATTAGAAGCCTGTTCTGCTTCTTCTCAGTACTGGCTCATATTGTTGTCCCGAAGCAGTGCTCAAGTCCATGTCCCGAATATCCATGTTGTGCCGTACCCAATTTTGGTTGGGAGCTCAAGTCTCGAGATTGCTGACAAGTACATCTACCTCGGACAAACGATTCAGCTAGGTTGGATCTAACTATTTCGAGAAAGAGGTCAATCGTGGAATCCAACTCGGCTGGGCAGCGTTCGAGAAACTACGCAAGATCTTTTCGTCCAAAATACCTCATTGCCTGAAGACGAAAGTCTACAACCAATGTGTGTTTACCAGTGATGGATGACAAAATTATGGTTCGGAAACGCGGCCTCTCACTATAGGCCATATTTTTATACAGAAGCTCAAAGTGGTAGAGTAATGCATCAAATTATTTGTTCAGAAAAAACTCACCGCTTCACACGTTGCTAGAACCACTAAGAATTTGGCTAATTGTGTAAGAAGCATAATATTATTTTGACTATCACTCTACTTAACTGTTGGACATGACATGACCCTGATATGTCAGCAAGTTGGGTTATCTCCACCTCTATATATGAGGTTCGACATAATTACAGGAGACGATTCTAAGACGAATGGTTAATCAGTCCATTGGCTATAATAGTGTGTCCAGAATTCACCAGAATGGAAGACCTTCTCAAAATAACGGATATCGTCCCTCTCATCGATGTGTATAAAATACACTATATTTTACTTTGTTATTCGCTTCTGCCTAGTTTGCAAAGATGCTAACCAAGAATTTGGCATTAGCTGTTCTTGTCGTTTCATCAAAAACATAAATACCTATGAGTTTTCGTAGTAGGGCTGAAAAATGATGGGATTTGATTTCAATATTTCAGGACATACATAGATAATGTTCCCTTTTGGATTTGAAGTCATTTCTTATTTTCTCACGATTCACATGATGATGTGGACACCCTACCTAAAACAGAGTTGCAGTTTAGTGAAATTATACACTTCTAATTGTTAATTATTGACAGCTGTTAAGTTCCTAGTTTTTCATAATTACCCTCGTTATTACGTAAGTACCTAAATAACTGGTAGAGGTGTGTGTGATGTATTTTATAATAAACCAACTGGCCTAAATTAATCAGGGCTATTGTAGAATTCTAAAGGCCGATGAAACTTTCAAATCTCTCCAGTACTTTGGAGCATATTTAATACAAACAAACAATCAATTCTTTACTCTCTGTGTACCTAGATCTATATTAAAAGAACCTGTGAGTCCTGTGACTCCCCCGGGGCTATGGGTGTCTATGGACGGCGGTAATCACTTGCCATCAGGTGATCCGTCTGCTCGTCATTAAAGTAAAATGAAAAGAAAATACACCAACCGAACCTCCTCCTTTTGTTAAAGTCGGTTAAAATGTGACTATAATATCTATTTAGGTACTCATTGCTGGTTTATGAATGGACTGTCATGTGACTATGAATGAGTTGAAGTAGTTGAAGCCTGAAAGGCTGTATGAGACACTCATTACATTCATAATGAGACGGAATGCTAAGTTATTTAAACGTCAAAATTACTAGTACATTGTAATCAATCAATCTCGTAAACGATAAGTAGGGTATAAAATTAAATCCTTAGACAACATACAAATAGTTTCTTTTTGACTTGACGGTGTTAAACGTTTCATTATAATGGGTGTGAAAAAATCTTTGCTTCTTTGTGAATTACTTTTAGTTCTTATTTTACTGCTTGATACAAGTTTCGGGGTAAGGTTTTAATTATTGATAATGAGGTTGACTCTATAACTTCAAATAAATGCACATTTCTCTAAGCTGATTCGGGTCCAAATCTCAAGTCAGGTTCAAATAAAGTTCTGAAAACGTTACTTTTTAACTCAAAAACATTAAAATGTTAAACGACTGTATTTTAGATGACAAGGCAGCAACTGAAAAATTCTGGAAAGCTTATGAAAAAGTCTTGTATGCCCAAAAACGATGTCACGGAAGGTAAAATTTTCTTCATTGTAGATTGTGTGTTCCAAAAAATTTACAGTCATTTGTTTGTTATTTATTATTTTTATTCTTATTTGGTTTTATGGCTTAGCTACTTTTTTTTCTTTGTGGCCAGGGCTGAATGGATTGTATGAACACAGCATGATAATGACTTGAATATAAATTCATTTGTTTAATAATTATTACGTCATATCTTAATTAACACGTAGTTTGACTTTGAATTGGACAGTTATTTACTGAATTAAAAATAGCATTTCTATTTCAACAACTGAGAGATTCCGACTGATGGAGAAAAAAGAGCGTTTTTTGAAGGAATATTCATTGTATTTCGTCGCTTGCCTCTAACTGACGTAACGGACATTTTGCAAAATTTTCAGGCGATTAGACAGATCGATTCGTCTTGCGAAATTGATTAAGATGGTGTAGATAACTCAGTTTCGAAAAAAATGTCAGATACGTCAGTTAGAGAGGCAAGCGACGATTTGAAGGAATATTCATTTTAAGAAAATTCAAGGGTTGTTTTGTCTAATGACTGGCAGCGTCCAATGACTATCGGACTATCGGTTTACCCTATTATGTTTTGTAGAGCAAGTGGGTGAGATCGAACAGGGCAAGTTCATAGAAGACCGCAATGTGATGTGCTACATTGCCTGCGTCTACTCTATGACACAAGTCGTAAGTTTTTTTTGTATCTAGGTACATGATTTTTAAGGATACTTTGCGTTAATTTGACTTGTTCTTGATGTAGGTATTTCAGGTAGTTAACTAATAAAAGTGGCTTTTCAGGTAAAAAATAATAAGTTGAGCTACGAAGCAGTTCTGAAACAGGTGGACATGATGTTCCCTCCTGAAATGAAGGACGCGGTGAAGGCTGCGGCTACGCAATGCAAGGATATTGGTAAGTTTTGGCAATAATATGAAAAATTCAAAGGATTTTGGACTTTATTATTACCATAATCATGCTGGATAAGTACATAAAGCCCTCTTTCATAAAACGTCTCACAGAGAGGCTAGATAGGTTAGAATGTACATTTCGTTCTAGTTCTACCCATGGATCGACTTTCTATTCTAGAGAATTAATTAGGTACGTTGTTTTTTTGTTACAGCCAAGAAGTACAAAGACATATGTGAAGCCTCTTATTGGACTGCAAAATGCATGTACGACTTCGATGCTGAAAACTTCGTGTTCCCGTAGACCCTAACAAATATATGATTGTATGGGAGCATTAGTTAACATAGAAGAAAAAAAAATTAAAATTAGAATTAAATTCGTAGTAAGACGCAAAACTGAATAAGATTTTGTGCGAATTCATAGTTATTCAAATTTAAATTTTAATGCTCTAAATCTAGCAAAAAAGTGCGTGTATTTAACCCTAATTTAGTACAGTACGAGTAAATGCAAAATTACTACCAGTGAGTGGTTTTACTTTTAACCCTGTCATTACCAAAATTCATTCTAACAATAACTCAATTGAAAACGAATGACAAACAGTTTTCTACCATTCAATTAAGCTGCAAAAATTATAGCCCACCTAAACGGACGTTTTTAAAAACATCCTTAAATTATTCGCGAACCGATTTTTTGGGTTAGTCCGGCTTCATTTGTAGAGTTTTGAGGTTCTGAAGATTAAAAAAAAATGAAAAATATTGTTGTGGTTTTACTTTTCCTGCTCTACACTGAAGATGTATTTGGGGTGAGTATAATATTTATTTTTTAGAATCAGTTAATCCTAAAGCCATGAAATACTTACAAAACGACTCTAGTATAGACTGACTCTGAAGTATAGACTTAAAATTATTTTGTATTTGAAATTATCCATTTAAAATCTACATTTATGTATTTAGATGACAAGAGCTCAACTTAAGAAGACTTTAACTGTTATGAAGAAACAATGTATGCCCAAAATTGGAGTTTCAGAAGGTCAGTTTACAAACATTTATTTCCATATACTAAACACATACCTATTTACTTACTATTTGTTCGGATACCAGTTTTCATTTAAAATATGTTTAGAACGTTCAACTAGTTACCCTGCACTTATTTATTAAAATTTTCGGTTTAAATAAGTAGGTAGGAATAGTAAAAATATTATTTGAAAGGAGATTGACAAACTTTTCAGTGCCCTTTTGAGATTGTCATTTCAATTATTTACGTTGAATAATTTAAAAACTTTCAGACAAAGTGAAAAATATAGAGCAAGGAGAATTTATAGAGGATCGTAAAGTTATGTGTTACATCGCTTGTGTCTACAAAACTATTCAAGTGGTAAGAACGAAGATTGATTTAGATAAGTAAATATATTCGAATTAAGTAGTTAAAGAAAACGCGAAGGACAACGAAAATTAAAACGCCACAAATGAGAATGTGTTTAAATTCATGAATGTACGCTTAAAGCTGCTATTTTCAGTTAGGTCTAAGTGAATGATTGCACACAAATAACAGGTTATGTAGTCTTATTTAGTCAAGTACTAAAAAAAACACGCCACCATTTCAGGTAAAAAACGAAAAGATAGACAAGGATCTAGTAAACAAGCAGGTGGACATTTTGTACCCCGTCGACATGAAAGAGTCCGTCAAATATGCCGTCGACCAGTGCTATGGCGTTCGTAAGTTCATATCGATACAAATATAAATAAATCTACCCCTATTTTCATGATAAAGTAGCCTAACAATTCAACAAAGTCAACCAAAATTAATCTCTCCTTATTTAGATCAGAATTCAAATATTTTCGTAGTCACAGAGTTATCCAATTTTCCGAAACTTTATCGCGAGGAAAACAAACAAAGCGTTTTTGAGAAAATACTTTTATTTTATTTCCAAGACTCAGAACAGATTACGGTTAAAAAAAATATAGGGGTGCCGATAAAATTGCATTTTTTGATGTCTTAAAGTTTAAAAAAAAAATTATGCATAGCAAGGCAGTTATTTGGCAGTTACTTAATTAATGACGAAAAAAATAAAAAAAAAGAATTAATAAACTAAAATGTATTGCAGAGGCCCAATACAACGACCTGTGCGAAGCAGCTTTCTACGCAGCTAAGTGTCTGTATGAGACAGACCCGCCGAACTTCGTCTTTCCTTGAATCTTAGAAGAATACACAAACATTAAATTAACACATTAATTATGGTTTCTAATTTAACAGCATGTTGTGTAGTGTGAATTACTAATTTGATGTGCTGTCTACTGTACACTATTCTACTCACTTTAATTTTAAGCACACATTTATTGTAGGATTATAATTGTTGAATATTATTAAGAGACTATTCCCACCTCGCCCACTGGTACAAATCCAAAGCAAAGCATTATTTATAATTTTTATTAGTATTATTGAATTTAGTGAAACACCAAATAAACTAAGTGTCTTCAAAAGAGTTTTGCTACACATACCTCAGAGCTTTTTCTCTATTAAAATTCAAACACAAATCACTTCTGGTATAAAGATGTTAAGAATCACGTTCGTTCGTCTCAGCCAAATGACGTCCACTGCTGGACAAAGGCCTCCCCCAAGGTTGTTTTCCACAATGCACGGTCCTGCGCTGCCCGCATCCAGGCTCTTCCCGCGACCTTTACCAGATCGTCGGTCCACCTAGTAGGAGGCCTGCCCACGCTACGTCTTCCAGCCCGTGGTCGCCACTCGATAACTTTTCTGCCCCAACGGCCATCGTCTCTACGAGCTGTGTGCCCCACTGCCATTTGATTTTAGCAATTCTGCGAGTTATGTATCACGTATCTGATCGCAATTGCTGTAAAAATAGAATTAATAGTATTTATCTAAATACAATACCTTTGCAATTATCTAGCTCTAAAAGTTAATTGATACGTATTAATTACAATTAAAAGGCGTTTCTTAGTCGAATGAAATGTGATTTATTTAACACGCGGGCGTACACTAGCGATTTGTATTAATGGAAAATAAATGAATACAAATTACTTATTGTATCTCTCTGTCCTTGATCTTAATTTGATTCAATAATTGAAAAATGCTGGAAAATTTCAAAATAATGTACAATTAACATCGTTCGCAAGTCTCTTAATTGAAAAGAAATGGAAATTTTCATAAAATGATTATTATTTTCCAGAATTCAATAGTCAAAACATTTACAATAATATTTTAACAACAATTATAATGCTGACAACTTATATTAATTAAGATTTAATTACAAAATGTTCGACCAGACATCATAAGAGTGGTTAAAAAATGCAAAAAAATACTTCAATGTTTTGTGTATTCTCTTAGTCTAAAGTGTGCGCATGATTAGTAACTAAGATAACTAAGTGTGTAACAACTAGTATTTAATTAACGCCTTCTTAGCCTATAAAGAACACCTCTCCAAATACAGATTAATTGTTTGTCCGTCCATTTGCGTGCAACCTTGTCTCTGAGCTCATCTTGACAATGTTCTTCAGGCAACTTCATCTTAATTGTTTGGTTCTTTTTATTTTATTAAGCACTTCTTATGTTTTATCGGTAAGTAAATTGATCAAACAATAAATTTCGTCGAAGTATCTATATTTTTAATTTATTTCCCAAAAGTTTTCATGCACCTATCCAATTTTTTTAAACAATGGCATGGCTTTAATTTTCATTTTGTTTCTTTATGGCTAAAAATAAAAACTTAGCTTAACTTTTGCAGATGACAAAACAACAACTTAAAAATTCCGGAAAACTTTTGAAAAAGACTTGCATGCCGAAATGTGCAGTAACTGAAGGTATTTCTTTGTCAAAATTAGTAGTAAATAATAATAATACTTTATAATTAAGTAGGGTGACTAGTTGAACGATGTTACAACAATTTTTTTAGGGTTTTATTTGTGTAAATAATCTTAATCGCTGCCCCATAAATTATTGAAGAAAATTGTTACCTAAGTACTTTATAGGACTTACGAGTATAATGGTAAACGCACATAATATAACATTTAATTCCTAACATAATAGTAAGTTAGTTACATTGGTAATTCTAACTTGTTTTCATTCTGCATCTTATCATTTTCAGTCTATTATGAAATAACATAAATAAAATGTTATACATATTTTATTTTACAGAGGAAGTTGGAGACATTGATAAAGGAAAGTTCATTGAAGAAAATAACGTCATGTGCTACATCGCGTGCGTCTACACTATGGGACAAGCCGTAAGTTGAATAGTTACAAAATGTTATCCATTCAACCATAATGTACAGAGCAGCTGTTTTTCATCAATTTATTTCATAGTAAAAGATGTTCATAATCATGCGTGATCTTTTCCTGAAAATTGCATGTAGAGCTTACTTTACAAGAAACTCTACCTTCGTATCAGCCAAATGACGTCCACTGCTGGACAAAGGCCTCCCCCAAGGTTTTCCACAATGAACGGTCCTGCGCTGTTAGTATAGTTCAGAATTGCTAAAGTTTAGAATACCTAAAGAAGTAAAATCTATGGGAAGTTGTCGTCCGACTATAATTTAACACACATTTAAACAGGATTGTGAGCGTAGTTGTCACAACTCACACGTCAAAGAAGGATCTCTCCTTCATCTTCTAAATATATAAAAGGAGAAACTGACTGACTGACTGACATATCAACGCACAGCCTAAACGGCTAAACGTAGGCACTTGAAATTTGGAAGGGACGTAGCTTAGGTACCGTAGGTGTACTAAGAAAGGAATTCCCGAAATTCCCACGGGAACGGGCCCCTAAGGGGGTAAAACGGGATCCACGATCCAACGCGGCCGCTAATAGTTAATAACAGTCAGAAATACTTTCAGGTAAAGAACAACAAGATAATGCACGACGCGATGTTGAAGCAAGTGGACATGTTGTTCCCGCCAGAAATGAAGGAGCCCGTCAAAGCAGCCATAGAGCAATGCAGGCCCGTCGGTAAGGAAAATGAAAAAGTTCCTTAACTATAAGTAGGTAGGTACTATCATCGTCACGCCTGGTTTCAAAATCTCACATGAGATTAGAGGGAGGAGAAAGGAGTCGAACCCAAACTATGTTATCTCACGAAAGGAGAAGGGCCCAAAATCGCCAAAATACTTCACGTAATTAATGGACAGTCAGAGGTGGAATTGTGTAAAGCAATCGTAATCATTTGACAGTTCATAATGTAGTACGATTATTCTGTCAAATGCTTTGTATAACTGACTTTATCGTACGTTATGAACTATCAAATGATTACGATTGCTTTACACAATTCCACCATTCCACCTCTAGGGCAGGAGTTATATGGCTCGCCAATGAAGTACCAAACAGTAAAACTTTTATTTTAGAAAGTTATAAGATCTATCGACATACTTTCGATTTATTTCTTAAAAACAGTGTTTACCAGATACAGGAACGGAGGAATTTTAAATCGTTCATTGGATTTGTCTCAGTAGAGTCTTTTAAAAAGGATGCCTGTAGTAAAACACTCCAGTAAATGGCAAACGATGCGTTAAGTAAATAAAGTTATCCGTTGAAAACAAATGAAAATTTTTCCTTTTACAGCTAAAAAATACAAGGACATCTGCGAGGCGTCGTATTGGACGGCCAAGTGCATTTACGAAGCTGACCCGGACAACTTCGTTTTTGCTTAAACATATAATATTAATTATTACATTAATTTACGAATTTAAAATTAAGTACAACGAAATTAATCAACGAAAATTTTCGTCATTTTAAAGTTTGCTATGTTAGACTTATTGTTACTTACAGTGCGGTAATGATGTATGTTATATAATCTAAAATAAATAAATAAAGTACGAAAATATTCTTTCATTTTCTGGTACCACGACATACCTAAGAAAATATTGAAAAATCAAAACTCTACCAAACAGTATTAAAAATAGGTAGGTACATACTATCCTATTTATGTTTGATTATTTTGTTCATATCTATAGGTGTACCAGAATCTCATGGCAAATAGGGAAAATAAACTTTGTTGCGAGCAATACTGGGGAAATTGGAATAAACGATCTTGATACTGTTTAATTTTTTACTTTTATGACTAATATTAATGACCATGAAGTACGAATATACATTTTAGGTAGGTCTGTGTATGAAGAATGTTGTTATACATCGGGAAAATGTCTTGAAAAATAAATAAATCGTAATATTACTTTTAAGTAACTAATTTTATTATGCATCATACTTTTAACTTATCACTTCATTCAGAACTAGAAAACAATTCTAAGAACTCCACTTGCAATTTCTTGTTCTTCAATAGATGATCAAAATAAAGAGATAAAATCTTTTTCAATTTTATTTACATGGTCATAACATTTTGACCATTCCCCTGCACCAATTTGTGAGATATACCTAAAAACCCCGATAAAGCAGCTATTAAGAATAATATAAAAAATATAACCCTCCTTGTGACGTAATTGGGTAATAAACTAAATGTATCAAAACATTTCAGTCCAACTTACTGTCAACTCGACGACGCGCTTTAGAATCAAAGATTGACTTTGAATTATGCCTTATTTTACAATTCACATTGAAAACAATATGACTTGCTTGATCTTTTTCGACTTTTTCACAAAAATAACAAATATTCAAGAAGAGATTACAAAATTTTTGCAGCGGCTGACAGATTTCATAATTTTCTTTGACAGGTGACAATTAAACCATAGACAATTGCCATATGAAAAACACACTTTTCCAATATTTTTGTTTGCCATGAGATTCTGGTACACCTATAATATTGGCGTTTAATCAACATCAACACGGTGTATGGTCTTCATTAAAACTGTTTAAATGCATGATGATCAATAAAATATGCATTTTGTTACTTGTAACTTAATGAATTGTTTAAAAAAAAGTTATTTAGCAGTGCCCGAGTAAAAATAAAATAACGTGATATGGTAACAGTTTTTTTTATGAAGAACAAACAGCGCCTGTTGTTTATGGAATGCAATCACAAGAGTAATTCGTGCTCAGGGTACAGTTACCATTGCTAACTACTAGTATGCCATAACACAAGCTATAGTACTTTACAGAATGCACATACAAGGCGTGGTTGCCAGATAAACCCATGTAATCACCATGTCATTTGTCAGTTATCCAACTTAAGTACATCTTGTAAGCATTAATAAGGATGTCAGTCTTCTTTATATTTATGGCCGAGAAAGAAAAAACACAGTCTTTGCTCTACTTTAACTATGACTAAAGGAACTGATTTGTTTTTGTTGCTGTTGGCGTTTTTTATCAGTTCCAGTGATGCGGTAAGTACAAGTTTTTCTATTGGGTCCGATTTGTAGACTTTGCTTACAGTTGTTTACCCATGATACAGTTACGTTTCATTTGGAAAACATTAAAAATTAGTGTCACCATTTCATCTATGATTCACAATAAATATTTTTGTATTTGTGTTTTGTATAATTTTAAAAAGTGTTTTATTTTATTATCAAGTATATTTTCTTCAGATGACCAGACAGCAACTGAAAAATTCAGGGAAAATGTTGAGAAAGAACTGCTTGACAAAAACAGGAGTCGCAGAAGGTACCATAATAAATGTAATATTTCTAGCGATTATAACTAAAAAATATACATTTTTTAAATAATTTTAGATTTAATCAGCGGTATCGAGAAAGGCAAATTCATAGAGGATAGAAATGTTATGTGTTACATTGCTTGCATTTACCAGATGACACAAGTCGTGAGTATCCATAGTTTTAAATCCTTTTGTTCAGTCCAGTCAGCGTCAAATAGTTTGTGACACCTAAAGTCCGCAAAATGGTTGATTTGTCAACTTTTTGACCATTTTCGGTGTCACGAACTATTGGACGCTAAAACTCATTTATTTTTACAAATAGGCTTTTAAAAAGCACTTTTACACGTCCCAATATTAAACCTACCACTGCTTCGGGACAATAAATGGGCCAGTGCTGAGAAGAAGCAGCGCAAGAAACTCGGTATTGCTGACTGTACAAACTCCTGAAGTTTATAAATTAGGTCTGACACGATTTCGGGGGTAGTCCTTTAGTGTATTTTTTTTCAGGTAAAAAACAATAAACTGAACTACGAAGCGTCTATCAAACAGGTGGACATGATGTACCCCAATGATCTAAAGGAATCTGTCAAGAAATCCATCGAAAAGTGCAAAACTGTTTGTAAGTCATTATTAGTATTGATTATCTTAATCTTAATCATCATTATCATCATTTCAGCCATAGGACGTCGATGCTGAAATACAGAACTCCTCCAATAACTTCCACAATGACCCATTAGCAGCGGCCTGCAGCACAAAAATATGACTCTGGGGACATATTAATCCGATTGAGACATTTTAGACGCTTATGTAATCGGATTGCCATAAGGCCACTTTCAACTTTCACACCAGGATCCACTGAAGGAGAAAAAAAAAATTTTGCTCATGGATTCTCTCTGACATGCAGTCACCGGCAAAATTAATCTTTGAATTATATTAAAATGTAATGTTTTTTTTTCAGCTGATAAATACAAGGACCTCTGCGAGGCGTCGTACTGGACGGCCAAGTGTATCTACGAGGACAATCCGAAAGATTTTATATTTGCTTAGTTCAATAAAAACATTCCATTTTGTACTTAGTTCTTTTGTGAATTCCTTATACCCTTGCTGGTTAAAGGTCCATAGAGTTTATTCTGTATTTGCACCACGTACTCGTAGCAGCAGTATAAGTGAGAGAATTCCTCACTCTAACGTTTTTGAACGTCAGAAAATTTATATGTTTAGTATTTTCGGTTATTTTGAATATTATTGCCTTGTCTTTAAATGACTGAAGCAAGCTATGGCGACTGAATAATGTGTTTTTTTTATCTACATTCTTCCCCGAGAACATTTTAATTAAGCTGTGGTTGGTAGAAATATCAAAAATAAACTAATATAGGTTAAATATGAAGAAGACTAACAACTAATAACCAACATTTTTTTATTAATGCTTGTAAACATTTTTTTTTCTATGTTAGTCTATGTCTTAGCTTGGCGAATAATTTAAATTGTATTTAATTTATGGCATGACATAACAAACATGTACTAATGTTGGTTTACTAAAAATTAAGCCTAAAATATTTGCTCTACATTTTCCTATTTTGAGAAACCACAAGAATTGACTTTTTGCTTCATTTGGTGGTTAGATCAGTCCATTGTCCATAGTTCATGGTTTGTACGTGGTAGAAACACTAATGGGAAGTAGGTTTTTCCTTATTTCTTAGATAAAATTTTCCGCCAGACTTGAAACTTTGATCGGTATAGACACGACAGATCGTGTGTACTTCTGTATAATAATGGATAATAATGATAAGCCATTTTAATTGTAAAGTTGTAGAGTAAAGGTTGACAGTGGTATACAGGGTTAAAATATGGAATGTAGCTATCAAAAAAATTTAAAATGAATAGGCTTTTTATTGCTTGAAAAAAAAAATGCACATTTTGGACTGATAGCTTTGATAGTTATTTATTTTTTAGCATTAAGAGTTGCATCTCAAACTAATTTGAAAATTATAAATTACTTGAAAAAGTCAAACTGCCTAAGGCGGGGGGGGGGGAGTTAAACCCATGAAATTAAAATATTTAAATACACGAAAAGTTTTAGCGAATAAGCGCAGACGTTGCCTAGAAAAAATTAAATGATGAAAAAAATCGGATATAACTGAAAACCCTGTATGATTATATTAAGGCTCTACATAGCTCTAGAAACGTTTTAGGTACCTACAATGTTTTCAGATGATCCTTTTTTATCCAAAAGATAACGATTTAAGTAAGGTTTAGGTTTTACTTTAAACTAATTTGAGGATTTGTTTACGTTTGTCAGTGAAAACAAAAAGTGGGTTTTACTGTTTAGAATACTACGCAGTCAAAATGTACATTTCGAAGTAAAAAAATGTGAACTAAGTAAATGGAATATAAAAATAAATATAATGTCTTCAGTCGTCCGTGATATCACACTATAGCAATATCCAATAGGCTCATAGTATCTTCTTGATGTAACGTCGTCCGTACATTAAGTAGTGTATTGGACTAAAAATGTTGATTTTAGCTTTTAAACTAAAATACATCTTATCGAATTCAGAAAAGTAGTCCACCTCGGACTGCGTTATTTTTGCAACACCCCTTATACTCTCTGAAAAAACAAAATGGTAGCTCGAAATCAAGAAGCAAATAAGCAAGCTATAAGAATGAGAATGTTTTTGTATTTAAGTGCCAAGAAAAAATCTTTCCGTTTTCCTCCCTTTTCAATCAAAAGATGTCCGCTGCTAAGGTCGGCCTTTTCAGGAGCATTCCGCAACTCTCACCAGAAAAGGGTTAGATACTAATTATTAACTTTACGAGGTGCATCCATTATTTTAGTAAAAAAAACTATTTCCACCTCTCGTTCCCACCACTGCAACTCCTGTGTAGCTGGGCCATTCTTATTCTTACGCATTTTTGTGTGAGATGTAAGAATAGCATATGTTTTTAAAGAAAATCAGTGCACTGTATATTAATTTACTTAGTAAAATACCTCTATTAACTAGGCCCAATATCATTTTTATCATAAAACTATTAGAAGAATATTAAAAAAAAGTTACAAGTCTAAAATGTCACGGACCGTGTAGTGTGAGATTCCCGGATTTGGACATACAATATTTTTTTCTGAAGAGATATTATGTTATTTTGATATATATTACAGTAATTATGCAAGATTAATACATGTTATATAAGACTGTTAAAAATTTATATCAATAATAATTACCATTTTTGATTTTGAACACCAAACATTGTGTGAGCAGTTTTTGTGTCACAACCACGTGCGCCACTTTAAATATGCATCCCTTGCTAAGTTTTTTTAGAACAGTAACATTGTCATCTTATTAGATTTGCAAATAGCTGAACGTAGTGAGTGAGCCGCAAANGGAAGAGGTGAAAACTAAAAATTAAAAACTTAAATCCTTGTAATTTTGCGATAAATGGGTCAATCCTCAAATTTGAAGTATTTTTATCGATAAAATTGTCCCTAGATTTGGCCCATAAAGTTTGATCACTACATGCCCGGACACACTGTATACAACGTTGTATTAAGTATTTCCCTTAAAATTTTATTTTATTTTATTAAAAGCTGATGCATACGAGCGCGCGCGAATGCGAGTCATACACCATATTGTAATTCTGGCAATTTTTGGTGGAAATATTTAATATAAAAAGATCGATTATTCAACTCTCGATAACTCAAAAGTACGCAGAGATAAGTGACAAGGTATCTTCGCATGAAATACTCAAAATCACTTGTTTTATAACATGTGTGATCGGCATCTTGATATCTTTTAACACCTTTGCTGCGGCAGTAACTTTCTAATACTTTCCATTCCTTCGGTACAAGGTCAGTAAACCTGGTATTAAAACTTACATTGTGGCGGCACAAGGCTTAAAGACCTTGTAACATTTAAGATATATTAATTTTATTTTTGGCTTCATGTTAATAGATATTGTGTTTTTGTTCTTTGAATATTAATAATAATGCATTTATTGACATACACCTGAAGGCGTTCGTGAATAACTTGTTTAGTATAAAAATTATAGCTATGGCCCAGCTAGGATCTACAGCTTGACCGCCAATAAAAACCCAACCAGTGAAGGTCAAGTTTGCTCCAGGGAAAGTTAAGGTATAATAGACCCGCAACGATATGAATGATGAGGAGTTTGAAGTTCCCTTAGTACGCCTATTCTGTTAGTAAGCCTACTATATTCAACTCCTATTGCAATAATAACGTCAAATCATGTTCCCTTCGTTGACCATTGTTTTATAATTGCGACGTGAGTGCACGAGATCACTCGTTCGCTGATCCGACTGCAATCAAGGCTAGCTGACCATTACTGCAGTTAATTGCATGGACAATTTATTCTGGCTCAGAGACTTTGTTGCAAAAATGTTTTTTATAGTCCAGTCAATAAAGCATTATACAGGGAAATGCGCGTAACACAATTTCTGACTTCGGTACTTTTTTAAGTTCATAGTTAGTCATGTCACTAGGACGCATCGTTTCCGAGGATTAAGCGGAAAACCGAAAAATGGTACCTTTAAAGCCTTCCCAACCCCTCTGGCCGGCGTGGGAAATGTAGAGTAAATCTTCCATTTCAAATTCAAATTCAAATTCAAATTTCTTTATTCATAACCAGGTGTTTTTACATTTGTATATTGCGATCGAGGAATTCTTTTAAGTAAATAAATACTTGTGGTAGAATATCCCCGCTCTCCATATTAATTTAACATTAATTGACAATATAAATAATAAGTATGACTTTAGATATACATATATTATTTGCCTCTGGTAAACTAGAGCGGAAAACGCAGCGTGGGACGTCCACCCACAAGGTGGACCGACGACATCATAAAGGTAGCAGGAAAGCGCTGGACGCAGGCCGTTACCAACCGGGCAACATGGAAAGCATTGGGGGAGGCCTATGTTCAGCAGTGCACGTCCTATGGCTGAGATGATGATGATGATGAAACTAGAGCGAGTCGTGCTGCGGTAATGGAGACTATCCATCCAGACTTCCATAAATATTGGATTGTGTACTCACCACGCCTACGCAACATGGAGTTCATACGCCTGCTCCTCCGCCATAACGACTCCTAGCTGCACAAGCTGCTGTAGGAAAATGAACTGATATAATTATAGTAATGTACAGAAATGAGGAGATGCGTAGGAGAACCAGAGTGACTTACATAGCCCGCAGAATCGCTAAAATCAAGTGGCAGTGGGCGGGGCACATAGCTCGTAGAGCTGATGGCCGCTGGGGCAGGAAAGTTCTTGAGTGGCGACCACGAGCCGGAAGACGTAGCGTGGGCAGGCCTCCCACTAGGTGGACCGACGATCTGGTGAAGTTCGCGGGAGGTGCCTGGATGCGAGCGGCGCAGGATCGGTCTTCGTGGAAATCCTTGGGGGAGGCCTTTGCCCAGCAGTGGACGTCTTTCGGCTGAAACGAACGAACGAATGTACAGAAAATAGCTCGATGACGTAATGGGTCGGTAATTTCGTACAGGTCCAGTAATGGTTCACGATCACTTATTTTAATTACTTGTTTTTATTCATGATCACGTCACATGCAACCGTGCTGAAATGTGTATCATGATCATATCAGTCTCAGGAAGTCCCCCTCAATGATTTTCAGATTGGGATCGTTTAAGCAGTCTGCACCAAGCGGTTTGGTAATATTTATTATGGTCATATTCTGTCCATCTTGAGGGTGCCGTTCCATGCTAAGCTTTAGCCCTTCTCTTCTTGAGAGTTGGTAAGTCAATTAAAAAGGTAACAATATTAGTGGACCGACGACCTCATAAAGGCAGCAGGAATTCGCTGGATATGTTATGGGCCCTACCAACCGGCCTTTGTAGAAATCATTGAGAGAGGCCTATGTTCAGCAGTGGACGTCCTATGGCTGAAATGATGAATTAGTTATACAATTTTAAAAAATTTATTCCAGCTTTTTCAAACCATAATTTATTTTTTAGTCATCGCTAAGCGTTGTTAAATCGTCAGCTGCTTTGAGACAAGCATTAGGCACTTTATTTAGTAATTTCCTCAAAGTATGTTTTAAGCGATAGGT